GAGTTAATTACCACCAAGCCAGTATTAAAAGAAATGTTAAATTGGGCTCTTTAGGAAGAAGAAAGAAAATAAACAGTAACATAATTATAAAGAATAAAATGGCAATAACTATGTACCAATCAATAATCACTTTAAATATAAATGAATTAAATGCCCCAATCAAAAACAGAGGGTAGCTGAATGGATAAAAATAGAGGACCCATGTATATGCTCTCTACCCAAATCAGTTAGAAAGACACAAAGAAAATGAAAATAAAGAGATGGAAAAAATATTTTTTTCAAACTAAAATGAAAAATAAGCTGAGGTAGCAATAATTATATTAAACAAAATAGACTTTAAACAAAGGCTATAACAAGAAACAAAGAAGGATATTACATAATGATAAGAGGATCAATAAAACAAGAGCATGTAACCCTTGTAAACATTTAAGCCTACAAGATGGAAGCACTTTAATATATAAAGCGAATATTGATGGGCATAAAGAGAGAGAGCCAAAGTAATACCATATTAGCAGGGGACTTTAACACCCCATTGACATAAATGGATAAAACTTCCAGATAGAAAATCAACAAGGAAACAGTGACCTTAAAATATACACTAAACCAGATAGATTTAATTGATATTTTCAGAGTATTTCACCTCAAAGCAGCAGAGTATGCATTATTTTGAAGTGCACACAGATGATTTTCTAGAATAGACCACATGACAGGACACAAACCAAGTTTCAATAAATTTAAGAAGATTGAAATCATACCACAAAACGAAAAGGGAGCCAACCCTATGGGAAAATATATTCACTAATGATACATCAGATAGAGATTTGATCTCCAAGATATATAAAGAACTCACTTGACTCCACTCCAAGAAGATGTATGATCCAATCAAAAAATGGGCAAAGGACTTGGGCAGATGCTTTCCCAAGGAGGAGATACAGAGGGCCCAGAGGCATTTGAAAGGATGCTCGGCATCACTAGCCATCAGAGAAATGCAGATCAAAACCACCCTGAGGTACCACCTCACACCGGTCTGAATGGCCATCATAAACAGATCAACAAACAACAGGTGCTGGCAAGGCTGTGGAGAAAAGGGAACCCTAGTGCACTGTTGGTGGGAATGCAGACTGGTGCAGCCACTGTGGAAAGCAGTGTGGAATTTCCTCAAAAAGCTGAAAATGGAACTGCCTTTGGATCCAGTGATTCCCCTGCTGGGACTATACCCTAAGAATCCCAAAAAGCCAATTCAAAAACCTATGCACCCCAATGTTCATAGCAGCACAATTTACAATAGCCAAGTGTTGGAAGCAACCTAAATGCCCATCAGTAGATGAGTGGATCAAAAACATATGGTACATATACACAATAGTATACTACGCAGCAGAAAGAAAAAAAGAACTACTAAACTTCATGACAGCATGGATGGAACTGGAGAGCATTATGCTAAGCGAAATAAGCCAGGGGGTGAAAGGCAAATACCATATGATCTCACCTATAAGTGGAACCTAACTAACAATACAAAGATGCAAGGAAAATAAGACCAGCAACACTGAAAGGAAAAGAAATCAACAGAGACAAGAGGGAAGGAGGGAGCGGGGCGGGGACAAGGAAGGGAAGGGGAAAGTCAAGGAACATATAGCAAGGACTCATGGACAAAACCAAAGGGGAAGAGCTGAGGGAGGGAAGGAGGGAAGGGGTAAGGGAAAGTGGTGGGGGGTAGGCAGAGACAAATGTATTTGAAAAAATAAAAAAAAAGAAAAAGAAGATATTATGAACAACTATAGGCCTACAAATTGGACAATCTTGGAAGAAATGGATATATTCCTAGAAACATACAAATTCACAAAACTAAATCAAGCAGAGGACATTTTTACATTGCTTTCAGAAAGAGAGGAAGGGAGAGAGAGAAATATCAATGTGATAGAAAAACATTGGTTTCCTTCTCATACACACCCTGATCAAATCTGCAAACTGGGTATGTTCCCTCAATGGGAATCAAACCCGCAACCTTTCGGTCTATGGGATGATGCTCCAGCCAAAGAGCCACACTGGCTAGGGCCTGAATAGTACTTTTAAAATGAACAAAATTGAAGCAGTGATCAAAAAACTCCTAATAAACTAAAGTCCTAGACCAGGTGCTTTCACAGGTGCATTTTACCAAACATTCACAGAAGAACACCTAGCCTTCTCAAACTATTCCAAAAATTTCAAGAGGAAGCAAGACTACTAATCTCCTTTCACCAGGTCAGTTCTATGCTAATTCCAAAACCAGATAAAGGCACTACAAAAAAGAAAATTATACACTGATATTCCTGATGAACATAGATATTAAAATCCTCAACAAAGTATTAACAAACCAGATCCCCAAATACATTAAAGTGACCATACACCATAATCAAGTGGGCTTTATTTCAGTGATGCAAGGTTGGTATACTATCTGGCAAACAGTTAACATGAAACTCCACATAAACAGAATAAAGGATAAAAGTCATGTGATCATATCCATAGATACATAAAAAGCATTTGACAAAATCCAGCACCCATTTATGATAAAAAAAAAAACTATCAGCAAACTGAGAATAGAGGAAACATACCTCAACATAATAAATATCATATATGACAATCTCATAGCTAACATCATCCTCAATGGGGAAAAGATAAAAGTGCTTCCCTTAGGATCAAGAACAAGATGGGTATCTACTTTCACCATTCTTTTTTTAAAATACTTTTTTAATTGATTGATTTTAGAGAGAGAGAGAAAGAAAAAGAGAGAAGTTGATTTGTTGTTGCTTGTTGATGATGCATTCATTGGTTGATTCTTGTATGTATCCTGACCAGGGATTGAACCCACAACCCTACTGTATCAGGATGATGTTTTAACTAACTGAGCTATCCAGCTAGGGCCACTCATACCATTCTTATTGGACACTGTACTGGAAGTCCTAGCCACAGCACTCAGACAAGAAGAATAAGAAATAAAAGGCATCCAAGTTAGAAAGGAAGAAGCAAAACTGTCATTATTTGCAGATGACATGATGCTTTATATAGAGAACCCTAAAGACTGTGCCAAAAAACGACAACAAAAAAAAAACCTGCTAGAAGTGATCAATTAATTCAGTAGTGTAGCAAGATAAAAAATAAATATTAAAAAATCGATCACACTTTTATACACCAATAATCAACTGTCAGAAAGGGAAACTAGGTCCTGGCTGGTTTGTCTCAGTGGATTGAATGCCAGCCTGTAAACCAAAGGGTCACTGGTTCAATTCCCAGTTAGGACATATGCCTGGATTGGGGGCCAGGTTCCCAATAGGGGGCATGTAAGAGGCAACCACACATTGATGTTTCTCTCTCTCTCTCTTTCTCCTTCTAGTCCTCTCTCTCTAAAATAAATAAATAACATCTTTTTTTAAAAGAAAGAAAAAGAAAGGGAAACCTAGACAGCAATCCCATTTACAATTACCTCAAAAAATACCTAGGAATAAAGTTAACCAAGGACATAAAGGATCTGTACTTGAGAAATTATAAGATTTTAAAAAACACCTATATTATAAAATACAAAATTATCCCAAACAACTTTATTTTATATCCCAAGTAACTAGAAAAAGAACAAACTAAGGCCAAAGCTATTGTAGCAGAGGGAAGGAAATGATAATAAATACAACAGAAATATATCGAATACAGAATTGAAAAAATATAGGTGCCTGTTCTCAGTCCACTATCCTGACCTAGTATCTCCCTACTACATTTTAAAAATGAAAACATGATTTGCATCTCTCTGATGGCTAGTGACGCTGAGCATCCTTTCATATGACTCTGAGCCCACATGGATTTTCTTCAAGAATCCTTCTCTTTCTCACCGACAATATGCAATTAATCACCAAATCCTGCTTACTCTATCTCATTGTCCTTTTTAGAAACTATCTCCCTTTCCTCAACTTAAACATTCATCTTTCTTTCTTACTGGATCTTTACACATTGCATTCCCTACATATGGAACTTCCTTTTCCCTGCCATTCTTCCACACTCTCACTTTAATTGTATGCTTCTTCTTCAACCTTGGTATCAGTGGTTCTCAAAGTGTAAGTTACTCATATAGCAACATCAAAATCACCTCGAAATTTGTTTAATATAGCAAATGCTTGAGCTTAACCCCACATCTACTGGATCAGAGCCACTGGGGGTTGATCCCAGAAATCTATTATTTCACAAGCCTTCCAGGTAATTCTGATGCATGATAAAATTTGAGAACTAATAATTTAGATCTCAGCTGAGGTATCACCTAATCTGGGAAGCCATCCTTTACCATCTAAACATATATTAGGTATGCTCATTTACACCTACCTACAGCATTTTTAAAAACTCCTTTTAACACTTAAAACACTGCATTATAATTACCAGTCTACTTGTCACAATAGCCCAAGCTTTTAAAGAGTAGGAACAAATATCATTTCCTATGCATTCATACCTTCTAAAATTGTTCCTGCACCCAGTAGGCATCCAGTATTTATTCAATAAATGAATGAATGCAAAAGAATGTGGTCAAGATTATGGTCACCCTACATTTAGTATCAGGAGTTTAGTGTGTTATTGGGGTTAGAATTCAGTCTGTACTAAGGGGACAAGAACTTTATCTATGGCTGTGGTCAGGGATCAGTTTGTGATCTGAGGCAGGTAACTACCCATGATTAGGAGCTCATACTATAGCCAAGGTTTAGTTCAGTCCTAGAGAGGGTTTCAAGCTTTATCTGTACTCAGATTTAAGGCCAGCTTAAGGCTCCATGTGTATCCAATGTTGAGGGCAACTTTGATAAAACAAAAAACCTAAGGTAGCCTGTTTTAAGACTGAGAAAATGAGTATCTCATACAGACAACCTCAGGCTGTGGCTTAGTCCTGGCTAATACTCCTGTTTCAGTTCTTTAAGAGCATATTTTTTAAAGGAGAAAGGAAGAGGGCTGAAGAAGTGCTGCACATCTTTTTTACTTCACTAAGTGTTCCCACTCACCAGGCTCAGCAGCCAGTGGCCAGCCAGTACTAGATTCTAGCACTCCATGGGCATGCACAGAGTAAGGGCGGCTTGCATTATTCTTGAACACCACAGTTATGATATCACCAACTTCTCCTCTAAGAAGTGGACCTAATATATGCAAAAGAAGGAAAAGTCTCATTAGTGGAGTAGTAGAACAGGGACATTAAAGGCATTTAAGGAAGGGGACATAGGAACTCTCTGGAATTAGAGGTTTGCCCTAAGAAAGGATCCTTCTTCTTCTTTTTTTTTTTTTAATCTTTTTTTTTTGACTTTATTTTTTTCTTTTTTTTCTTTTTATTTTTTTAATTAATTTATTTACTTTTTAAATACATTTGTCTCTGCCTTCCCCCCACCTCTTTCCCTTGCCCCCTCCCACCTTCCCTCCCTTAGCTCTTCCCCTTTGGTTTTGTCCATGAGTCCTTGCTATATGTTAGAAAGGATCCTTCTTAGCTCAAAGTCATGACTGGCTTCATTTTGAAATTCAGAAGCCCTTAAAATGATACTGCTACCCACATAATGAGAGTACTTCATCCACAGAATTGTGTCTCCAATTACCCCCACTTTTCCCATCTCAACTCTCTCTAAACAATACCCCACATTTCTAGAGAAGGGCTCTATGTAGTAATGGTTAATTAGGAGCGAGAGTTTGACATAGAGTACAGAATTACTGGGCTCTCTTAAAGGGACAAGGGATCCTTTCTGTACAAGAATAAAATGAGGAAACTTACTGGCCCCCACAAAAGTGAAGAAACTGCAGCAATAGTTAAACTGGGTACAAGGCTAATACTGGTTTCCTGTACCATTTTTTTACTTTTTGATGTTCCTACATTCCCTTGCCTTTAGCATTAAAAACAATCTATCAGCTTCAGAGATCCATGATATAGAGACCTGGAAAAATCTAGTTCAGAGTGCAGCAGAATTCATGAAATTCCTCCCTTTGATTTTTTTTTTATTTTCATGGATGATTTATAAAATATGACTACAGTCCTAGTATATCATAAGGAAAAACTGATAATGGGAAACGGGAGGCCTTCCTGATATGACATAGCCCCTTGAGGAGCAGCACAAACTTCTAAACACTAGGAGGAAAGTGGAATTCCCTTACCCAAGATTCCTAAGTGCTCCTCTGGTCCAGTCCTTGGCCGAGGGATCCTGAATGTACCATCAGTGTATTCCCTGAATACAGCTTTCTTGTATCTGGAACCCAGTAGCCCATCCTTGTTGCTCAGAAAGATGTGACCATAACTAGAGGAATCCAAAGACTGGTATCAGCACCTGGCCCTCAGTCCCTCAAGCCCACAGGGAAGCTAGGTCAGACCCAAGTTCATGTCACAGATAGAAGAAGGAAGGGACCTATTCCTTCTAATATAAGATTCCTGAACACATTGGCTGTATACATGCAATTATAGATGGTAGATTTCAATATCTATTTATGTTAGCTTAATAGGAATTTTTATTAAAATTTATATGGCAAGAACACTGGGATAAAAATCAGAAGCTCTGGTCTCTAGCTGTAGCCTTGATGACGTCTTAGAGGGAATTCATTTGACAAGAAGGTGAGGTACATATGGCAGGAAAGTACTAACTGCTTCTGCTGTTGGAGGGTAAGAGATGAGGACAAGTATAAATCTTATAGATTTCTCCTTATAGGATGTTTTCCTGTTTACAAAGATCTTTGTTATTTATTTTATCATTTGACATTACCAATATGCTGGTAAGGTAGGTATGTCCCAGAGGTGGATTCAGTGGTCCAGACGTGACAGGACATATCTTCATTGATATGTCAGCCAGAAAGAGAGCCAGAACTTGAATTCAAGTCTGCTGTTCCTTCCCTACCTCCTTCCAGTCAAGTTATTTCAAGTATACCACATCATTTTAAAGATGAGTAAACCAAGGCTCAAAAAAGTGTAGTCACTTTTTCTTGGTAGGTTGCATATCAACTTAGAAAATAGGCTTCAACTTTTAAATAACCAACATAAAGAGCAAGAATTGGCAAAGGGTAGTGAGAATAGCAAAAATAAACTGTATTGGAAATTGCTTAACAGTACCTCAGTTTCTATTCTTCCCTTCTCCTTTTATGGTAGTAGAATCACCTAGGTTTTAGCTGGGCACAAGGCTGCCAAACAAAAGACTACACTTCACAAACTTTCCTGCACCTAGGCATGGTCATATGAAAAAGTTAAGAATAATGGGGTATTAGAGAAAGTGATGTACACAATTTCCAGGTCATCTTTACAAGTGCTGCTTTCCTTGGATTTGTTTCCCCTTTCTTAATATCTGGGAATGATTACAACTGGAACGGGCATCTTAATTCCAGAGATGAAAGCAAGTGTTATATGTGACTAGTTCATCTACTGGCCCTGGACTGCTCATGTTTATACGATTATTCAAGCAAGAAATAAAATTCTTACTTATCTAAGCCACTCTATTTTTTTCCTGCTATACAGATTCATCTGTACTTTAATGACATTTTGTCCAGGAACAGCTGACTTTGGGGTTCAGTTCCTTGAGTAAGTGCTCTATAAAATTTAAGTCCCAGTAGAGGTGCTTCTGGCTAACCAGAGGAAAGGGGGTGAAGGTTAAGAACATGAGGGTGTGGGTAAAGTCTTTTATTTCAACCCCACAGTACAACAATATAGAAGAAGCAGTGATTCCACTTTCCCTGCACTCTAGTCCCTGCACCAGATTTGTTGGTAGCTTACTAGGTGACTTAAAAGAGTGCCTCCTTCTTTCAGAACTTCAGTGTCCTCCTTATTTGTAAAATGACCCAGGGTCTCTGAAAGTGGGACTTTTTTTTAAATTTAATTTTAATTTATTTTTTCAAATACATTTGTCTCTGCCTCCCCCCCACCACCACTTTCCCTTGCCCCCTCCCTCTTTCCCTCCCTCAGCTCTTCCCCTTTGGTTTTGTCCATGAGTCCTTGCTATATGTTCCTTGTGAAAGTGGGACTTTTTTTCTAAAGACTTACCTGTCCTTCTCAGACTGGTTGTGCCACTCCAGTTCCCAGCTCCTGTCAGGACAATAGTCCCATTCCACCTCTTCTGCCATGATGTAGTAGATTCTTGCAGCCTGGTAGTGTTGGCGAGGGGCGGCTTGGCGGGCAGGACACTGGGAGACATTATAGATAGCCTTCATCCCTGCTTCTCTATGGCTACCTGCCTGGCAGTAAATCTCAAATGTCCCTGAGAAAGGAAAAAAGAACAAAACATGAATCAGAATACCCCTGTGAAGCACCTGGGGGATTCCATGTTTCTCTCTAGGCATATTGCAGAGAATGGGTAGTTTCAGATAAGATTAATCTATGCATTACATAAAAATTATTACAAATGTACTGAGAGCAATTAGCACAGAGGTTAAGGGTTCTACCTCCAAATATGCACTGTCTGGGTTTAAAACTAAACTCTGCCACTACAATGACCAATTTCTCCCTATTTATCAACGGATTTCCAAGTTTTAGCCCTAAAAGTCTCATATCTCTGGAAACTCCTCAGTTGTGAACAAACTAGGATGTTTGGCAACCTTATCAGACACATTAGCTGTATAATCTTGAGGTAATTTTTACACCTCTGTATATTTCAGTTCCCTTATGGTAAAATGGGTATAATTTTAGTTACTTTATTGGGTTGTTATAGAATTAAACAGAATAATATGCACATGTTGTTTCTCATAGTATATACTAAACATTCAATAAGTAAAGCTATAAATAATTAACTAAAGTTGTAATTATTATTCCAAGAAAGGCCTTGACCAGTTGTCTGCCTTTTTAACCATGTAACAAAGAAAGAAAGGTGGGCTTAAATAGATATATAAAAAAAATGAACTTCTTGCTAAGTGAAATAAATTAGATGGAAAAGGACAAGAAACATACAATTTCATTCATATGTGGAACATAAAACAAAAAGCAACAAACTCATAGACACACAACATTATGATCATTACCAGAGGGGAAGGGAAATGGGAAAATATGAAGAGAGTAAAGGGGGTCAAATATATGGTGATGGAGGGAGATTAGACCATGGTTGGGGAGAAGACAATTGAGTATACAGATGTTGTATTCTAAAGTTATACACCTGAAGGGAGATCCAAGATGGTGGAGGAGTGAGTGGGAGTTATACTAACCTCCTCCCAGGACCAATCTAGAGTTATAACTAAATTGTGGCGAAATCACCTGGAACAAACAACTGAATAATAGCGAAAGAGAAGCCTTATAATCATGGACAGACAGAAGAAATAGCTTCAGCACAATGTGACTGGTAAGGAGTGCACAGGAGATGTGAGAGGGCTGGCTGGGCACCAACAGGTGGCAGCTGAAATGCTGGAGGGATATTTAAGTGACTGGTTGGATCCCTCTGAGAAGTGTGGGGTCCAAACCCTAAGCTGGGATCCTTAGCCTCGCCCCGAAAAGTACCCAGATAAAATCTAGCTGCAAAAAGCAGCAGGGTTTCTCTGTGCCAGAGTTGGACAGCTGGAGATGTAAAGAGTCGTTTAAAGGGCCAATGCATAAATTTTTATTTGCAGCCACTTACCCTGGGCTCTGGCAAAGGGAGAGGGGGAAGAGCAGACTAGAGATGCTTGAGGAGAGACTGGGGACCGAAACTTTGGGGAGAGAACTGAAAAAGTACTGCTGGGATCCCAGTGCTGAGTCATCCCCCATATGGAGGCAGCCATTCTGCTCAGTCAGACCATTCTGTTACCTCCAAGTAACAGCAGCCTGAGGGGAAGAAATATCCCCAAGCCCAGGAGGGATCCTTCCCCACCTATGGTGCTTAAGCCTAACTGCTGAGTGCAGAGTGACTAGATTAACAACTGAAGAAGTCAGCCACAGACAGTAGATCCCTGGTGGTCTTGAGCAGACTGCCTAAGGCCAGATGGGGTCACCATCTGACATCACCAGGGGTGCGATCCAGAAAGAAAAAACAGTGGCAAATACTAGATGCTACCAAGACGAAATCCACCATGGTCCTCTACATGATTTGCAATATTGTCATTCCTGCATAGCTTTTTAACATTCATTTCTTGTCCTTCAAGCTTGTGCATATTAAGTCACTAAATTTTATATTATAGTTTATTTCAATACACATATTTTGCTCTTCCTTTCTCTTATCCCATTTTACCTTCTTCTTTCCTCTTATTATTTTCATGTTAAATTTCTTTTTCTCTCCTGCTACAACTTGTTTCCATTCCACACTCTTACTATTTCTCCCATGTCTAGCCTCTCAAAACCAATTTTCTTGCCAATGGTCACCTCACAGTCTTTTTCCTGCTTTAAAAATACCTGTATTCTCTCTCCACCTTTAGCAACCTTTGTTCATTGGTTGTGGATAGGGTACTTGTTGCATTTTTTTTTCAATTTTATCTTTAGGTCTTCACTATTTTTGTATTTCAAATCTCAAATTTTACCATTCTACTCTCCTACTCTTTTTTGTCTCAAATTTTAATTTTTCCCTGTCTTAGCCTAGTTTTTGTTCATCACTCTTAGTATTCCCTCTCCCTCTGTCATCTCAAAATAATTTCCCTTTCTTCTAGACATCTCTTAAGCTTTTCTTTATTTCTTTTTTCCATCTTATCCCCATTTCACCTATATTAATTTTACCTCATTTGTTATTGATAGTGCTGTGGTGCATCTTTTTCTCCAATTTGGTTCCTAATTTTTATTATTTTTTCCCTTTTCCTTTCTCTCTCCCACTTTATTTTATTTTTTAAAACTTCTGTTTAAACCCATACTATGTGCTTCCTTTTTTATACTCTGTTCCATTTTCTTAATTCCCTATTTTATTTATGATGTAAATTTTACTTTCTCTATTCTCATTGCTCTGAACTCTACTCTTATTAGTGGTCCTCCCTCTGCCTTCTCAAAATCATTTTTCTTTCAGTAGGGTATCTCATATTCACTCTCTTTTCTTATAATAGTCTTAATCTCTTTACACCATTATTAATACTGGTTCATTTGCTGTTGATAGTAGGATTGAGGGAGGAAGTTATTTTTGTGGGTGTGAGTTTGTTTCCTGGACTTTATGGTTGTGTTCTGGCAGCACTTGCACAACAGCATACAAGACATGGTGGGTGGAGTGACCATCTCAGTCAACCAGCTGGAGGGAAGGACCCACCAAAGAATGAAGCAACAACAATCAAGACCCAATTACATTCAGAAAGCCAACATAAACAGCATAAAGGGTATCCCAAGAACATCAGGTTCAGGAGCTCAAGGAGGCTGCAGCATTGAATCTCACAGGTCTCCTACCATAAAAGTTCACACCACATAGACAGGGAGTCAAAGCAGATCAATTTAAGAAGCAGAAACAAACAAGAAGAGTCTCCCCTAAAATTGGGAGACAAAGAAACAACCTCCAATAGAAAGGAAAGGAGGAATCCCCAGAAAGAGTGCTAAATGAAATAGAGGCAAGTAAACTATCAGATATTGAGTTCAAAACAATGGTTATAAGGAAGTTCAATGAGCTCAGTAAGAATTATCCAAAACTACAGGGAAGCGATGAAGAACTTACTGCAAAATATATCAGCATGAAAAAGGACATAGAAACTATCAATAAGAGCCAGGAGGAAATGAAGAATACAACTTCTGTGTTGAAGACACAGTAGAAGGAATCAAAAGCAGGCTAAATGAAGCAGAACATCGAATCAGTGAGCTGAAGAACAAGGTAGAAAAAAATGCCCAGAAAGAGCAAGAAAAGGAAAAAAGACTCATGAAGAATGAAGACGCATTTAGGGAAATGCAGGACAACCTGAAACATAATAATACCCACACAATAGGGATACCAGAAGGAGAATAAGAGGAGTAAGGGATTGAGAACCTGTTTGAAAAAGTAACAATGGAAAACTTTCCTAATTGGAGGAGAGAAAAAGTCACACAAGTCCAGGAAGCACAGAGGGTCCCATTCAAGAGGAACCCAAGGAGGCCCACTCCAAGACACATAATCATTAAAATGGCAAATATCAAAGACAAACAGAGAATCTTAAAGGCAGCAAGGGAGAAACAGGAAGTAACTTACAAGGGAGCCCCAATAAGAGTAGTAGAAGACTTCTCCACAGAAACACTATAAGCCAGAAAGAATGGCAAGAAATACTCCAAGTCATGAAAAGCAAAGGCCTGCAACCAAGACTACTCTATGCAGCAAGGTTCTCCATTAAAATGGAAGGCAAAATAAGGAATTTCCCAGACAAGAGAAAGCTAAAAGAATACACCTGTACCAAACCAGTATCGCAAGATATGCTAAAGGGACTGCTTTAAGAAGATGAAGGAAAATAGTGAGAGAGAGAGAGGAAAACAGGTACAAAGGGAAAAAATGAGTAAGTACCTGTCAGTAATAATCTTAAATGTAAATGAATTAAATGCTCCAATGGAAAGACATAGGGTAGCCAAATGAATAAGAAAACATGACCCACACATATGCTGCCTACAAGAGACCCAACTCAGAACAAAAGACCTACACAGACTGAAAATGGAGGGTTGGAAAAAATATTCCAAGCAAATGGGCAAGAAAAAAAAAGTCGGGGTAGCAATACTTGCATCAGACAAAATAGACTTCAAAACAAAGGCCATAAAAAGAGACCCAGAAAGACACTCCATAATACTCAAAGAAAGAATCCATCAAGAAGACATAAACATTGTTGACCTATATGCACCCAACATAGGACTACCCAAATATAACTTCAACCATTTTCCATATAAGATCCAGTATTATCTTTAACAACTGTAGTCCAGAGCACATTGGTCCCTTGCTTTAAATGTTCCATTCATACTCAGACATACAATCCAAACCACTGACTATGGTCAACAAGGCCTTACAAGTCCTTGGCAACACTGTGGCCAACCTCTATGACATCATGTTATTTCACTCTTCTCCTAGCTCTACATTCCAAACATACTGACCTTGTTTTTGACCCTAAAACAAGCCATGCTTTTTCTCACCTTTGGACATTTGTACTTGCTGCTCTCTCTGTTTGAAATGTTCTGCTCAAATACCTTCATATAGCTCCTTTCTGCTCATCATTTAGGTCTCTGAATAAATGTTACATTCTCAAACAGACCTTCCCTAAACACCTTCTCTAAAGTAATCATTTTATCATATCATTCTATTTTATTTCATTCATGCCATAGATCATAATCTGAAATCTTATTTTATGTATGTGTTTTATGTGTTTATTGCAGATATCCCCTCACAGTAATGATCATGTCTATCTTTTAATCCCCCACCTCAGACATAGCACATGAATGGTGTGCATTAAATGTGTTGAGTAAATAAATGTTTTTGCAAATGAATGACTGTATATACTATCAAAATTCATACCTCCAGGATTAGTGTGGAGAAGAAAGTGTGATTAAATGAAGGGGATGGAAACAAATAGAACACATTTGGGGAAAGGCATGTGACCTTGGACTAGCATATCATCTGAGTTTTCTCATAAGGAGATTGTTATCTAGGCCACTACTTTTTTAACATTCTTCTGCCTTGGTGTTTAAGTCTCCTCCTACCACTTTGACCAATTATTTTCTGTCTCCTTACTCTGGCTTCTCTTTTCCCTTCTACCTCTTAAATGTGTATTTTTGCCTTAAGTTTTCTTTTCTATCACTTTACATGTGTACATACTTGAACTATGAGGATATCTAAATCATTCTAGTTCTCTAAGCTTTACATTTCTATTCACAACTATCTACTGTGAAACCTATGTAACCTGGATTTCACCAAGAACTTAAATTTAGCACACCCCCAAATGAGAACTTTTGACCCAAATCTTACTACCCGACTCGTGCTTTTGTATTTGCTCACTTGATTAAAGACACCACATCTAGTGCACAAGCTAGAAACCTCAGACATCCTTTCTTCTTGTGCAGCACCTCGACAAAATCCTGCCATCTCTCTCATATATCCCTTAAACTCTGCCCCTGCTCACCATTGCTATTACTCCCAATCAGCTTATTTTCCAAGAAGTAGAGCTCTCATCTTCTTTTCCAAAAACCTCCTGTTCGACTTCCCCTTAAACCTTACGTTTCAGTATTCCTCAACAAAGCAGCTATTAGAATTTTGCAGGAGGCTATTCTTCATTGCTTAAGAATATCCTACATATTGCAGAAAGTTTTAGTATATCTGATTCCCACCCTCTAAATGACAGTATAACCATCACCATTTTCCCAGTCATGTAACAACTAGAAGTACCTCCACACATTTCCAAGCACCTTTTAGCATACTACCTTGAGTTGAAAAGCATTGAATCAAATGAGTCTATGCAGCATTCTCCATGTAGATGCTGTTTCCAAGCCACTGCCTATGTGGCTTATACTGTCTAAAATGCCTTCCTCACAACCATCCCCTTTCTTTGCCTGGTGACAGTTTACTTATCCTCAAAAGGTCAATTTGAATGTCTGCTTTCCCAGGAAAGCTTCACTCTACAAGTCAGGCAGAAATTGTTATAGCTTCCTGTGTGTTACCATAGCTCTTGGCAGACACATCATCATAGCCTTATGAATATTATTTACATACTTATATCTCTCTGTCACACTAAATGTTAGCTGCCTTATTCATCCTTACATCCCTAGCACTCATACGAACAAGTGAAAGAAAATAGACGTTTATTATTTGGGGTGGGTGGGGAGAATGTAATTGTAATAGAAAAGGGAAATAAAAAGGCAGAAAAAAGGAGGAAAAACAGAAAGATAGGAGAGAATAAAGAAAAGATACAAATTGAAGAAAAACAGGAGAAAAGAAGAAAAAGAGAAAGGAAGACAAAAAATAAAGGAACTGAAAGAGAAGAAAAGACAAAGGGCAATAAAAAGAATGAAAGAAGAAAGTATAGAGCAGAAAAAGAAAAAAGAGAGGTATAAGAAGGGAAGAAGAAAAACAAAAAGAAAGGATAAACTAGGAAAATGAAAACTGAGAGATGAGAGGAAAAAAGAGAAAACACATTGCTCTACCCTTTTTATCTGCCACTTTTCCTGGCTATTAAAGCTCTAATATCAGTAGTTGTGTTGAGCAGTTGATGTATACTATGTAGTATGATATTTTTAAATACAACATGTCATTTCTATTCAATGAAATACAAGATTATTATAATTTAAAGCAGAGCAAAAAGAGGATTAAAAATTATCAACAAACCCACACAACGGAAATTCTTTGAACACTTCACTGCATTTTTTTCTGGGCATTCGTTTCTCTATTTTGTTAAATATAGTCATGAGCCTCCAGCACACAGCATCTTGAATCTCTCTGGTGATGTTTTTAAGTAGTCTGAAAAGCTGCTCAATTACATATGTATATTTATCAACAATCCCCATCACTATTCCTTTCTCTAGAATCCCAAAGCCATATTCTGATCCTGGTTTTCCATTAACTGGATACTTTGCCCTGTCTTTGGAGAGCTACTCACAATGGTCTCTCTCAGTCTCAATCAGAGAACAAGCCCCCAGGGGCAGAATGAAGGAAACTTCAGATTGAAGATATCATCTAGGAGGAAGAATCAACAGGAGTTGTTGGAGAACAGGCAAGAGGAAAATGAAGAAAAATACAGCCAACATGTCTAATCTGAACAAAGCATTTCCCCATTTCAGGTCTCTGTCTCTTCCTCCCATTAGTAAAATAAGTGAATTGATATTATCTTAAAGGAGTTCTATCATTCCCAACATTCTATGACTCTAGAACTCTTCAGAAAGCAGAAAGAGTTTGAAAGGTCTAGAAAATGCAATGGTAAGATAAATTTTGGCTTTTACTGGTAAGAAAACTCAGGAATCTTGACAAAGAGTAACCTTCAAGCCTTTACTCTTATAAACCCATTTACACCTTCTCTTCCCCATACCAGATCAGAATGTTTTTAAGCCATATGAAGCCACCATCCTTGGGTCTCACTGTAGCACAAAAATAATTTCATTCCTCCAAAGTAAGAGTGAGCCCTGAAGAGGCACATAGACATGACAGTGGAGCCTACCTAATTTTGTAGGAAGGAGATTAAGCCTAGAATTTGGCTTTGGGACCAAGACTAGAGAGAACGGTCTTTATTCAGAAGTTCCCCACCACAGGCCTCACTAAAAGCACTTGTTTCTGTTGTTCTTTTCAGCTCTATTAACTATTGTTTCTAATTTGCTAAATTTACTCCCAGAGCAAAAAAATATCTGAGGTAGATGGGGAAAAATGAGGACCCAGATATCTGTGGAGACCAGCTTTATGTCAAATGCTTTTTAAACCCAGTGCCAGAATGAAATTAATAAATTGTCAAGGAGACTTGTTTTTGCTTAGGGATTTTTTTTCAAATATGAATAGAATCTACAGAACTAAAATAAAGTTTAGTGGTAAATGCATGGAACTGAGAGATTTTCCTTACAAACACTATTGCCATCTACTGCCTAGAAAAAGTATATACCCTAGGAACTGCAAAGAGAAGTTATGCTGCATCATTAAATGTTAGACAAATATAGAATCTGAAGAAACATTCAAGTCAAATTCCTTAATGAAAGAAAGACAGAAGAAGAGGGAGAGACAGAAGGGGGGAGAGAGAGAGAGAAAGAACGTAGAGAGGGAGAAAAGGGGCAAAGAAAGGGGAAGGAGGGAGAGTGACGGTCAGAGAGAGAAAGAAATCTAGCCACAGAGGGAGAAGTGACTAGACCAAAGTTAAACAGCAAGTTACTGAAAGAACCTGGACTAGAAGTTCCTGTGTTCTGATTCTTGGTCTAAAACCCCCACCTAACTCCCACCTAACCCCCACCTAACTCCCCCTAACTCCCTACCAGAGTTTGCGGAAATCCTCACAGAATATCAGAGTTGGAAGTGCTTATAGGTACATCTCATGGACCTCCCCCCACCAAAGCAAGGACTTTATCTATGGAATCTCTATGTGGACAAGGGACTACATGGCCAAGTCCACCCTCTGCATATATAAAAATTGTCTTTCTTATTGTTGACATTGTTACAGATGTCCCTCAATTCCCCACTTTGCCCTCCTTCACCCAGCCCCTACCTTCCTCCCTGGCCTTTACCACACTGTTGTCTGTGTCCATGGATCATGCATATGTGCACATATGTTCTTTAGCTAATCTCTTCCAGTGCCCCCTACTACCCTTCCTGTCCCTTGACAGTATCTCTATTTATCTTCTGTTGTTCCAGAAAGAGCTTCCTTAGTTTTTCACTCTAATTCACCTGCAGCCAAGATGATAGTCCAAATAACCACAACATGAACTGCACAATGAGGAGGGAGAAGACAATTGTGTTTTGAAAATGTCCTAAGTACCCTCCACAAGACTCTTATTTTCTCTTCACCAGCCCCCCTCACCCAGCCCCATGCCCAACAAAGCCTCTCGGTGTAGGGCCAGCTGCTAAGGTACTTACCGGTGTTGTCAGGCTGCATAATGGCCATGGCAAAGGTGTGAGGAAAGAGCATCGCAGCACTCTTTCTCATGCCCTGAAGCTGCACAGTGTTGCCCTGGAACATGACCCCGTGCACATCACTCTCTGTGCCCAGGCCAAGCAGGTGCCAGGCTACTGTGTCACCCTTGCACATGTCCAGCCTGGGCAAGTTAGAGAATAGAAACCCGTTAATGGCTGGAAAACAAAAACAAAAGACAAGATAGGGAGATGAAACCAGACTTCCTCAGGCACTGGCCAACAGCATGGAATTGGCTCTGTACTATAAACAATTTTAAATTTCTGAATCACCACAACTCCTCTTCCCTTTCCCCTAAGCCACCTTAGTTCTACTCATGAATATCTGCACCTTTAGGATGAGAGCCCAACTAGCCTTCCTGGCCTCACTTACTGCCCCTCTTCCACCACACTTCACATCCTTGAAAAACTGAACTACTCTCCACTACTACAACCCTTCCACACATATACAAAAGTACCAACCTCTTCTATTCCCAATCTCTTGAAACTCTCCTCCCTTGGCTTCTGTAACATCACATTTTCCTGGTTCTCTTACAGCCTCTTTGATTGTTCCTCCTCCTTCTCTTTCTTATTCTCCATCCATCTGTAAAGTGTTGGGGTTCCCCAAATTTCCATACTTTGTTTTCAAACTATCTCCTCTTTTCATCTTTACTACCCCTGCTCTGGCCCTAGTCCTCACCATCTCTAGCCTGAACTCCTACAAAAGCCTGCTTCTGGTACCCCTACCTGCAGTCCATCCTCCCACCCCTTCTCACACAATAAACACACAATTATCCTGTGTTCTCTATTTTCTTCTGCATGCCCAAATGCTTATAGGACACTTGTTGACTTCACATGCTGTTTCCTCTTCCTGCAATATATTGTACTTCCACTGTGGTCTCTCTCTACAGCAAACTGCTACTCATCCATCCATTATGCTCCAACTCAAATGTTACCTCCCCAGTGAAACAGAGTTATTATTCTGTCTCTGGTTTCCATAAACTTTTCCTCCACAAAATTCTGCCAAATAACTTACCACAGAAGCCAGTGATTTACCTACAGATCTATCTCCCTCACTAGATTGACCTAAGAGGGAGAACTTTTTTTTCTGTATCTGCATGGCTAAATACTTAACATGTTACCTAATATAATCAGGTGTTCCATAAACTCAAACTGGAATGAACTTAGTTTGCAGGACTGCCTTACTTTTTCCAGCTGATGTAACTGACTGGTAATGAGAACCAAGAGATGGAACCAAAAGACAAAACACTTTTTCCTTATTCCCTCACACCTTCTACTCTCCCCTCAAAAATATAGAGGCCTGTTTGAAGCTTGCCCCTTTTCAATATTCCCACATCTACTGGAACTAGCTTTAATAAGTAACCTTCCTTGGTAATCTTCTGAGATGCTGATGAGAACATTGCTAACCTTTTGATTCTATTTCACCTACCTATAATGTCTGATAGCAAACCTATTCAGCCTTCAAGACCTAGTTCAAGCAGTCCCTTCTTTCAGAAATCCTTTAATTGCATTGTTCCTCATTAATGTTCTCCTCCTCTGAACTCCATGTCACTTAAAATCTGTTCCACACAATTTGGCACTTAATTATAGTATGTCTTGGATTGTTCTATATTGTTTCATGGATATTATTAGTCTCATCTCATTGCAAAATGATGGGAGCTCCTTGAAAACTGGGTCTATGCCTTTACATTCTATCACACCTGCCCACCTACTCATTGATTGGTAGTTCACTGGGTCATAATCATTTACTGTATATTAGACAGTGTAGAGGATACAAAGATAAGCAACAAACGATACTCACCTTTAAGGACAATACACTTTAGCAGAAGATAAAAACAATGTAACAATTAACTGAAATGTTGGGGAGTGTATGAAACTTGCTATTAAAATAGTCTGATAAATATAAAATAGTATAATAGTTCAAAAGAAGGTGTCATTATCCTGGGCTCAAGTGATAAATATATTGTAAATAAAGGAGTTACCTTTTGAGTACAGCTTTAGAGAATGAAAAAAATTTCCCCAGGCTGTGGGCAAAGATGTAAGCAGCAGGGTTTCAACTGGAGGGCAAAGCATTGCAAAAGCATGAAGTTAGAAATGTACAAAGTACATTCATATAGAGAAAAATATTCCCGTTTTGCTGAAGTATGAGGTTGTGGAGTAAGCAAAATGGAAGAAAACGGAAAGGATATAAGCCTAGAAAAGTGTCATCTCTGCTTTACCCAGTGACCCTGCTACTATGTAACACAGGAAACAGCACAAGAAGGTGCTAAGTATAAGATCTGTCATCAGATTTAATCCCTCAAACTAGCTCATCTCTTGGATATAGTTTACCAATGTTTGTAACATTGTATATAAAACATTGTATAGAATCAATGTTTTCAGAGATGGGTCATAATTAAGTTAAGGTTCAATTTTACTTATAACCTCTTAGTTGTAGCTCAGGACAAAAGTACTTGGTCCCCATACCATGCATCCGATTGGAGTCTTGGAAACCCACAACATCCTCTGAGAGTAGTCGGGAATCCAACATAGCGGCTTCTTGATTGGTATTGCTGTACCAGCTCTTGTTCTCATCCAACACAGTAAAAAGAAGAAAGAATTCTTTATCCACCCCTTTCTGTAGGCCCAGTGGGAGAGAAGAGGGGGGGGGAATGACAACAGTTTCAGCAGCTGTAGCCTCTGACACTCCACACCCAATGATGCCTTATTCTTTCCCACTGTTTCAGACACAGAGCCAAGTCCACATCTGCTGTCTAGAACTGCAGGTGTTGCTAGGCAGGTTTTCCTCAGGTAACCTCAAATCACAGGTGGGTGAAGGAGATCAGAATAAAGTGAAAAGACTGGAGGTGAGGAGAGTGGAAAAAGGAACAGGGAAGAAGCACAAGATGTGTGTTATGGAAAAAAATACAGAGTGTGATAAAAGAGATCCTATAGTCACCTGGGAAGGAGTGGTAAAAGGTGGCTACGAGATCAGGGGAGGGCTCAAGGTGGAAGCTTGGAAAATAAGAGGAAAATAATTATAATAATTATTAATATGCTATTAATTACTATTACTATTACTAACATTTACTGAGTGATTACTACGTACCAGACACTGTGATAAGCATTTTGTATGGATTATTATAATTAATACCTACAGAAACACAAGATATCTTCCTCCATTGTTAACCCTTTACTGTAGACAAGGAAACTGAGGAAAAGAGAGGTTAAATAACTTGCCCATGATTACACAGCTAGAAATGGTGGTCTGGATGTAAAAGAAGATTAGCAAATTCTAAAGAAGATTTAGGAATTTGGAGCAAGGGTTAGGGGCTATTGAGGCCAAAAAAAAAAATAAAGGATCAAAGACTAAGTATGATGTATGCTTGTGAGTGAAAGAATAACATGCAAGATAGCTTGAAGTCACCAACTATTAAAGTCTGATTCAATACTTGGTTTTTTTTTTCTATTCTCATCTCTAGAACCTAGTTCCATGCTTAACTCCTATTTGGCAACTCAGCCTCATCTTCCTCCCAACAGACTTTCCAGCCAGAAACCTTGGCAATACCTGTTTGCTATCTTCACCCAAGGCACCAGCCTTGCATACTAGTAGAGGGCCCACCAGACCAGAATTTGTATCTCTTATGGGGTCCACAGCAGAAAAATACATCCAGGTGAGACAGGCAGGATCCTGAGCACTAGGGCCTGCATGGGGGGGTACTGTCCAGCGATATGTTACTTTCTCAAAGGGCTTGGCCACCAAACCAGGATGGGGTGAGCCTGCAGGGAAAACATGGAACTCATTACTCACATGGGTTAGAGTAAAGGTCATCAACTCCAAGCAGTGGGGTAAAGATCATAAACTACAAAGGCATTTTGGAGTAGCAGCAGAAACAACGGTAGCATGGAATACTGAATATTTAAAAGAATCCTAGGTAAGAGTCAAGACACTAGAGTTTGGTTCCTAGTTCTGCCACACCTTGTTATATGAACAGGAGAAATTTTAACTTCCCCAAACATTTCCAAACTCATAGGACCTAAGGAATAAAAGAGTGTTTTAAACTTATTTGGAATGCCCCTCACTTGAAAACATACATTTATCTGCTTTTATATCCCTACCTCTGCTTAAAAATTTCCAGAGTTGGGAGATTCACTACCTGCCGTCATAGCCCATTTCATCTTTGAGTGGTTCAGAAGAAGGTGTCATCATCCTGGGCTCGGGTGATTAAAAAAAAATTGTACATGAAGGAGTTAGCTTTTGAGTATGGCTTTAGAGAATGAAAAAAACTTTCCCCAAGCTAGGGGCACAGTATTAATTTATCTTTTCTTATTCACTCATTGTCCCTAACTCTTTAAAATTTCAAACATACAGAAAAAATATAAAAGTTAGTACACTAATCACCCTACCATCTGGAGTTGATTGTTAACATTTTGCATTCTTTAATTCATCTACATTTATATGTATGTATATCTACACATACACAAACACACAGTTTTGGTTTGTTTGCTTTTGTTAAATCATTTGGAAGCAAAATCCAAGCATCATGACATCTTACTTCTAAATAATCAGTAAAAATCTCCTGTATTACCACAATAACATTACCACACCTAAAATAATACTCTAATATCATTAATATCATCTAATATCTAGTCTATAACAAAGAACTTTTAATTATCTCCAAAATGTTCCTTAAGACTACTTTTTTATAAACAGGATTAGATAAGGTTTGCATGTTGCCCTTGGTGTTGTCTCTTTAATGTTTTTCCCTATGACTATGACTTCTTAAGTGAACTAGACCAGTTGCTTTGTAAGATGTTCTTTTAGTGCAGATTTGTCTGTAACTTTGCCCTTTATGATTTTATTATTTTTTATATTTTTAGCTTGGGATTAGCATCTGTTAATATTATTTTCAGAGAAAATAAGAAACTAATTATCCAATAATCTCATTTATATTTTCCTCTTGAAATAGCAATCCAAACCATATGTATGTATTCATTTCATGCATTCAAAGATTTAAAATATTCTAAAATAACAAAAAAATTTACATGTACAAACAATACAGGATAAGATAAATATATTATGGCAAATCTAATAATGACTATTATAAAGTCATTAAAAGATTTATAATATTAGTATGAGATGGAAAATGGACAAAATAGAATGGTAACTGAAAATATGACACAAAACTACAAACCATATGATCATAAATCTATAAATATATAGGTTTTTATAAGCGCAGAAAAATATTTAAAGGTATATCAAAGTGGAATGGCAATTTTTCTATTAATGATTTTAGCTATATTATACTTTTTCACATTTTTCAAAATCCCATAATACATGTTATTTTTATAATAAAAAGTACTTAAAATATATCTCTTATTGAGTCCAGCTCTGCCTTGCTGTATCATACATTTATTCAACAACATCCACACATGCCTATTAATTCTGCCTCCTTCTCCCTCCTTCACATCCTGTTTATTTTTCCTCTAGAGCTACCTTCTATTATCCACAGCCCACATTAGTTTGAGACTGTGCCTGCTTACCATCATTGTACGTAGTTCCCTCATAGTCTTTCTCATAAAAGACCCCATGAGGCTGTATGCTGAATGGCTGGGAGGCGCGATTGTAGAAGATCACCTGAATTGTGTCACCAACCTCAGCCCGGATTACTGGCCCTGTTAAATAGGAAGAAGAGGCAATGAAAGTGAAAACAGGCATGACAAAGGAGGATGGAAACAGAAAAAAGGAAGGGAAAGAAAAGGGATGTGAAAAAAAGAACTCTTTGCAATAAGAATAATCCAAGTATATTGAAATTTATAGCCATAAAAAGTACATTAAAATACATTATCTCATTTTGATCCTCAAGTATCATTCTAAGGTATACAGAGCAGGGGACATTCTAATTTTACAGATGAGAAAACTGCAGCTCAGATAGGTAGAATTGATCTCAAATTCAAATGACTGATTAGGAACACAGACAGGACCTAAAACTAGGGCTTTCTTCCACGCCACTGTCAAGTCCAATTCCATTTCCCCTGCCTTTATTGTCCCAGTTTCCACAGTTGCACTTCCTTGAAGGACGCATCTAAATATCTAAGCTTGCCTCAAATCTAAATACATTTTGATCATAAGAAATTATTATATCCTCTAACAAGGCCCTGGACTAACTAGCCTAGCCATGACTACTAGATTTTTCTTTGCTCTACTACCCACCATCTCTAACCTAGCTTAGGTCACTTTTGAGACCAACCAGAAATAGCAAGACAACCTGAGGACTTATGGTGACTCTAACTCTGTGCTCAGAGCTTCTGGCATGGTTTCTACTCAATGTCTACATCAATATTTTACCTCTGATCAAGACTGGGAACCAATATCCCACTCATAATAATGGATAAAACAACCAGACAGAAGATGAATAAGTAAATAGGAGACTTAAATAACACAATAAACAAACTAGATCTAACATATACAGAACACTCCACCAAACAACAACAGAATACATATTCCTCTCAAGTGCACATGGGACAAATTAAGCCCCAATAGATTTAAAAAGATATTATATAAATCATGTTCTTCAACTACAATGGAATAAAATTTGAAATCAATAAAAGAAGAAAAAATGGACAATTTATTAAAAAAATTTTGTAAATTAAACAACACAATTTTAAAGAATCAATAGATCAAAGAAAAAATCACATACAAAATTAAAAGATACTTAAAGGCAAATGAAAATGAAACCATAACATACCAAAACATAAGATGCAATAAAAGTACTGTGAAGGGGGAAATTTATAGCTATGAACACTTACATTAAAAAGAACGAACTCAAATCAACAACCCAACTTTACAAGTGAAGAAAACAAGAGAGAAAAACAAACTAAACCCAAAGCTAATAAAAAGAAAAAAAATACATGAATGATAAATGAAATAGAAAATAAGAAAACAATAAAGGAAATCAATAAAATCAAAAGTTGTTTCTTCAAAAAGATCAACAAAATTGACAAATCTTTAGCTAGATGGACTAAGAAAAAAAGAGATAACACTCAAATTAATAAAATCAGAAATGAAAGTGGGGACATTACTACCAATCCTACAGAAAGAAAAGATTATAAGCGAGTACTATGAGCAATTGTATACCAACAAATTGAATAACCCAGATGTAACAAACAAATTCCAAAAACATAACCCTCTTGCACAAAACACTCATCTGTTGGTACTCACTTTGAGAGATGCAGGTCTAGAGTGTGCCTCTGAACTGCCCCAGGCTCCAGTTTCTAAGTCCTCCCCAGTTCTCCTGGCTCTAGTCAATTAATTTCATAAGTTAAGGATTCCTCACCCAAGATTCCAAGATGCTCATCTTCCTCCAGCTGTACTTTTTCCTGGAATGTTTCATCTTGGAAGGCTTCATATCGGACTTTCCAGTAAGTGCCCCCAATTCGGCTGGAGCACTTCTGGAAGAATTTATCTGGGCCACTGGCATACAAGGAGGCAAATGTCACATGATTTAATTATATATCAAATAGACTCCAACATCACCCTTGGTCTCATCAAGTTATGGGTATTTATGATAAGGAAAGACCTCAGACATCATCCATTTTAGCTTCCCCCAAATGAAGGTGACACCACTAACAAAGAATATGCAGCTTCAGCTTTTCCAAGATTAGGGAACTCATTTTCAAAGAAAGCAATCCCTCTTATTGTTGGGTAGTTTTAATGATTAGAGTTATTGTTTTATAGCAGATGAAATCTTCTTGCTTGTAAGTTCCAGATATTAGCACCAGTCCTGCCATTTTGAGTTGCACAGACTTACGTCTGCCCTTAATCATCTTCAGGTACTCAAGACTCTTTCTCCTCTTAATTAAGAATATCCCTAATTCCAAAATGAAAACCCACTAACTTAGCAAACCCAGTTAGATATTCTAGCTGTCATGCTGAGACCCAAGTGCCTACTTTCCTATGTTTTCTGCAGATTCATTCCATTATTTTTTTGCTTGAAGAGTAAACATGATGTGGCCATAGGATATTCCCCTAAACTCTCACAGCCCTCAAGTACTTCTTCTGTGAAAGACCTAGAATCACTGATATGTCCGGCAGCAGGTATAACTTAAGGCCTAGCGACTGAATAGGGAACTAACCTGCTCTATCTTGCCCAATCTGAGTCATGGAAGAACCAGGAGAATTTGGATAAATTCCTCCAAAATGATGGTTATGGAATGGCCACAGGTAGATTGCTTCTCCTTTCTACATTTCTCAGAGTGATTTTTACACTCCTGCTTAAATGCATCCTTCAGACTATGAAAAAGAAAGGAAGGTGCAAGGAGGTAAATAATGGGTTAAATAAAGGAGAGTTGGAAAAAAATGGCATTTCAACTGATCTGGTCCCACAGGGTCTCCTTTTCTGAATGTGGCTTGGGATTATAGCAGGAACAATCTCAAACACTGCTAGGACCTTTTGCTGAGTATATGTCGTAACCCTACAAAAAGCTTTCTAGATGCCCCAAAGCAAGCTGTCCAAAGGACCAAAAGAATTTAGTTAACAGCTGTGCCATGTAACTCCAGTCAGACAACAATTGTGACCCCCAAGTGAAAGTGAGAGGGAGTAATAGTGTTTAGGGCTGAAACCAGGAATGGGGAGAAGAAGCCCACTGTGTCTTACCTGCCTGGCTCCCTCAAATCTTTCCCAGTGCTCCCGTCGTAACCCATTGGACCATAGTCCCACTGAATTTCATGGGCCTCAATGAAGTACTGCCGAACTTTTCCTGTTAGTTGGTTCACTGGAGGGGCCATGGAGCAAGACTTGACCTCGTAGAGTGCTTGCATGCCATCTGGGGGAAGAACATCATGGCTGGCCCCATTTCAACCAACAGGTCTTCTACCCAGACAATGCACCTTTCTCATAAGGTCTCTGCCTCCCACCCTCCACTAGGCTTTTTACCCCTACTTCCAAGTGAGCCATTTTTCACACTCCTTAAGAACCTGGCTGAAAGCAAAGGAGCCCAGGTGGGAATTAAAGTATCTCTACCTGCTGAACACCACTGATGCATTTATCAGACATTCATTCCTTTGCAAAAGGCTTACAGTGTACACATATCACAGAGCATGAATTATGAATACCTGAGTATAAGTCCAAGCCTTATCATTATCTGTAGGACCTTAGGCAAGTTAATTCCTAGATGTAAAGTTTAACCCTTATTTTATAAATGGGGACAATAGGAAATATACCACACTGGGCTGGTGGGAGCATCAAATTTTTAAAAAGAGAGAATTAAATAATTTTTAAAGAGAGAACCTCCTCAAATAATGGAATAGCTCCTATACATGGAGATGAAGCTTCAGGTTTAGGTCTGTCTTGAAGATGTACATTCTAAATAGTATCTCCAAAATGTGAAAAATATTACATTGAGTTCTAGTGGTAATGATGACATTGCCTTACATTCGCTTGGCATCTTATAAAGGTCATTCAGATCATTATCTTATTTGAGTCTCATAAAGTCTCAAGGAGATTTAAAATTGTAAATTAGAACAATAAAAAAATGCAAAAAAATAAAATTGTAAATTAGAAATCTGATATACAAAAAAGGATGAGGAAAGGATATTGATTTTTCTTGAATAAGTTTATGGGCCAGACCCTGTGTCAGGTGCTTTACATATGTTATCTCTTTCAAATCTTTGTATCCACCCTGTGAAACAGACTTTTTTTGAAACAGACATTTAATATCCCCTTTTGCTGTTGAAAAAACTAAGGATCAGAGAGGTTATGCAACTTTCCCAAGATAACACAGCTGATCAGTGGCGGAGTTGAGACTTCAGCTCCTATCTTTTAATTGCAAATTTGAGTGCTCATTTTCTTCTCTTATATCCACTAGTTTGGTCTGAACATTCTCTGGGTTTTTAAGACTCAAAATCATATTATTTTTCTAAAACCTTATTATAACTTTATGAGGTAGGAATTATTATTGCAATCATCAGTTGAGGTAAGAGACACCCAGAGAAGTGGTATGACTTACCAAAGCTAACAAAGCAACTGGTAAAACAGGTTTATCTGGCTCTAAGCCCCTGCTTGTTCTGCTATTGTGCTACATTTCTAACCTCCATCTGGATTCATACTCACCCAAGAGCCTTTGGGACCAAGGGAAGACCCTGGGTGATGGAGCATGGGTAGCTGGCCCCTATTGGGGAAAACCTACCACTCCAGACTCATGATCCTACCAAGTCTATAACTCCTTGCCTACTCAAATCCATTTCACACACTCACATGTTTCCTGATATCCATCTAATTTACCATATATTAAATAATTCTAGAAAGTGACAGCTGAAGAGAATCTTAGAGACTATTTAGACCAAATCATCCATTTTATAAATGTGGCAGATGAATCCCGGAAATGGAAAGGGACTTTTCCAAAGTTATTACAGTGAGTTTTTCACAGAGCTGAAACAACTGAAACCATCTAATCACTTATCTAGTGCTCTTTCCATTGCCTCATATGTTCTTCCTCTCCTCTGAAGCTCCTCAATGCACTGTGCCATTACTTCAACCATTCTCCCTATGAAAATCCTCTTCTACCCATATTTCTGTTGGGTCCCAACTAGAGCGTCAGCACTTGCCCACAACACTTTGATCTCCTGCAGAAAACATATACTTTTTAAACCAATCTTTCCTTTACTCCCTGTTCAATCAGCTGCAAACAACTTCAGGTCTTAATTCTTTAGGACTCTGAGCAAATACATATATATCAGCTTAAAAATCCATTTATTAATCATCAACCCCTATTTCATCTTATGTTACAGATGAAGAAGATGAAACCCAGAGAGACGGGCATGAGATCACTGTTCAAGTTAATGGCTGACCCAGGAAAAAATACTAGTCTAGCCTTTCATCCTTTCTTCCTTGCTGTCTCACCTGAAAGACCTATCTAGAATCCCAGGCTCCTGATGACCATATTGCCACCTGCCTCCCATCCCTCAAGGGTCAGAGGTGTTGGATCTCACCTCGCAAGTGACTATTCACTTGACAGCTTATTAACCAGGTGCCAAGTTTCTGGGGCACCATCTCAGCAGTCACAAAGGTGGCTGGAAATATGTGGGCCACATCAGTGCGGTGGCCCCGAATGGTCAGCATCTGTCCATGGAAGAAGGCTGTATGGACATCTACTTCATTGCCCATGCCAAACAAGTGCCAGGCCACACGCTTCTGTACACACATGTTCAGCTCTGGTAGGTTCCCAAATACAAAGCCATTGATTGCTGAAAAAGAAAATCAAAAGAAAATGTCAGAGCTAGGAAAGGGCAGCCCAGTGGGAAAAACCTTACCATCTGATAATAATAATAAGTAACATTTACATGAGGTTTTAAAACAATACACATTATATCATTTAACTCTCACAAACAACCTTAGGAAATCAGCAGATATCAATGATGTCATGCAAAAGTGAGAAAACCAAGGCTTAGAGAGGTAAAGTTATCTCTCCCAAGGCCACAGAGCTATTAGCTGGTAAAGCCAATGTTCCAACCCAGCAATCTGAGGAAGCTTTTTAAGGAATGTGGTTTATTTTGTAAGCTATTATTTTCTTCCAGGCCAATCCCCTTCTAAAATTTCCATAGGACAATTGTCAAATCAGCTGATTAATTACCATAGTTACTATAAGAAACTGGTATAAAATACAAAAGAAATTTGAGCTGTCCAAATCACCCCCTACATCTTCCCTCGGAGTTTTTACTCACCCTTGGGACAGTCTGACTTTGAGCCCACCTTTGTTACAAAGGTAAAGAAGCCATTCCGTTAATTAAACAAAAGCAAAAGTAACTTGTCTCTTTTCCTAAAAATCACTTCTCTGCCCATATCTCAGGGTTTTTGTGCCTTTACTTAGTTTTAAATTTAATTGACATGATGAATTCCCTCATAGGCAACAATTTTTCTTCAAAAAGTGGGTAATTCTTCCAGTGTGCATCCTTTCTAGAACAAAGAAATGCTAATTGATTGCATCAGTGGACAGCCCTCACCAAAGTGACTGAGCAGATGGAATCAACACCCTGGACCATTCCACATTGAGGAGGCAGGATACCTAATGAAGATACCTAATCTTCATTAGGTACCTAATCATAAGGATTACCTAATGACAAGAGCACTGTATGCAGTCAGATTAGGACTGGAATTTTAGCTGTGCCATTTATCTGCTGTGTAACCCTCAGTTTCCTCAGAGATAAAAACAAGGTAAAGCTACCTGCTACTCCTGGTCCTTGTCAGGATTAAAAAGGACCAGTATGGGAGATCACCCACCAAATGCTGGGCCCAGTGGAGACCCTGCATCTGTGTTTAATGTCACAGTGTGGCCACTGCATCCCAGCTCACCATGCATCCTATTACTCTCTTGAAAGGCCTCGTCTTCTTTGTCCACTGAGGCAGGGTCTGAGCAGTAAGTGGCAATGTTCTCATCGATATGCCAGCTAAGATTCTCATCTACCACACTGAAGAGCAGGAAGAAATAATTGTCCACGTCTTGCCGCCGAGGAGGGGAGTTCCCATTCAAGGTTCCTAATACAAGGAAGAAAGGTGCCCTTAAGAACCTCCTATCCTTAGCAACAGTAAACTGCAAGAGGTATTCACAAGAAAGATATAGGAAGAGAGGTAGCCTAATGAACAAATTGAACTAACAAGGAAATGGGGACAAACTCATAGACTGAGAGCAGGCTGGAAACTATTGGGGGAGGGTTGGGGGTGGAAGGATCAACAAAAAAGGAAAGAGGACTCATGGACATGGACAACAGGGTGGTGATTGCTGGGGGAAGGGGGATATAAGAAAGTTAAATGGTAATGGAAAAAATACAATAAAAGTGTTTTTTTAAAAAGAGTTTGTCAGCAACAGAAAAGCAGATGGAGACTTCCTCAAACCAGGGCCTTAAACTGACCACACTGTTGCAACATTTGGGTCTTCAGGCCTTGCTATACCTTAAACATACACTGCTTCAAACCATATCCACAATCCTCCCCAAATCCTGAGGGCTACACTTTCAATGCTATCCAAATTTAAGGTCCTACCACATAACTCACTTTTATGTGACCTAACTGTCATCATTACTAATTCAAATTTTTAAGCGATTAGAAAAAAATGTAAAAAGTAGAAAAGGGGTTTTTTTTCCAAGGAAAAGAAGGTAATATAATAGAAAAGGAATCGCAAAAAGGGCCCTGGACAGTGTGGCTCAGGTGGCTGAGCATCATCCAAGAAACCAAAAGGTTACAGTTTCGATTCCTGGTCAGGGCACATACCCAGATTGCAGGTTTGGTCCCATTTAGGGCACGTACAAGAGGCAACCAATCAATGTTTCTCTCTCACATCAATGTTTTTCTCCCTCTCTCTCTCCCTCCCTTCCCTCTTCTCTAAATTCAATAAGCATGTTCTTGGATGAGGGTTTTTAAAAAAGAATAGTGAAAGGGAGTTTGGCATTGTTTATTCCTGCTGATAAACAATAGTTTTGAATTAACACTCCTCAGGTTGCTGCTTAATATGTAGGCAGTCCAACAATATCACTGCTTCCCATAGATATTCTAAGCTGCATCTCATAGGTCACCCTTGGAGCCCATACCTCTTTTACAGGTGATAAGGGGTCCAATGAGGCCAGTTGCAATGTCTCGTGGAGCATCTACATGAGAATGGTAGATCCAGGTGAGGCAGGCTGGGTCAGCATCAGTGGGTGCATGGCTTTCTGGAACTGTCCAATTGTAGATATGGTAGCCTCCCGGGGAAATAGAGTCATCAGCTTTCAGCTGACCAGAGGAGCCATCTGGGTAGAGGGAGCCTAGAAAATGAAATTGCACATGCTCAGTCCCAGGGTGAGTGAGAAGTAGCCTGGCAGATAAAGAAGTGAAGAGAAGGCTGACATATGAGATACATAGGTCCAGTCTTATGGAGAAGATAAAGTTCTAAGGTTCAGCAGTGTTCCTCACAACATGAGGAGGTCACAGATTCAGGTAATATCTAGCTAAAGAACCCCATACCTCACATCAACAACAGGTGGAGAGGTGGCAGCCATTGGGGGAAGAGCTGTAACCACAAAAACTACTGCTAGGGATAACCTAGTGCAAAGCCAGTGGCGTCGAGGCACAGGACAGAACAGAATTCTCTTCCTGAAAGCACTGGCTTTGGAAAACAATCAAAGAATTTCACTTTAAAGGCAACTTGATGATCAGTTAGTCCACTTCCCCATTTTATGAAAAAGAACCTGAGGAAAAGTAATTTGCCAGAGGTCATACAGAGAGCACTGGTAGCCAAGTCAGGACTTTCTGATTTCTCTTTCTATTCTCTTCAGTCACTGTGGTATCTGTATTATAGATCACTGGCCTGGGATAGTGAGAGATACAGATGAGTAAACTGAATTCCCTATTAAGAAAAAAAAATAGACTTTTTGGAAGACTCTGACCCTAGAATAATGCTCCCTTATACTCAGAGCATACTCTTCTCTTTTCAAAACACAATTTTCCAAAAATGCCATTTAAGTAATTCTTTGTGATAGAAGGCAGGTTTGTATTTTTATTTTTCATTTTTCAATCACAATCAACATTCAATGTTATATTAGTTTCAGGTTTACAACATAGTGGTTAGACATTTATATAAATTACAAAGTGATCCCCTCTGATATTTCCAGTAGCCACCTGACACCATACATTGTTTTTACAATATTATTGACTATATTCCCTATGCTGTACTTTACATCCTGATGACTGCTATGTAACTACCAGTTTGTACTTCTTAACCCCTTAACTTTTCTTATCCGGTCACCCAACTCCCTCCTCTATGGCAACCATCAGTTTGTTCTCTGTACCTATGAGCCCTTCTATGAGCCCTCTGTATCTATTTACCTTCTGAGTCCTTCTCATAGAAAACACCATGAGGGTGGATGGTATAGGGTCGAGTAGCAAAATTTTTCAGGTGGATAAGGATGACATCTCCCACCTCAGCCTGCAACACTGGCCCCAGGAAGCCCAACCAGGCAGGCTGGGCTATTTCATGCGTGTATGAGTCATCACTGTATTCTTTGTAGATGGTCTTCTTGTAGCTGCTCCCTATCCGATTCTTGTCAGATTTTAGGAAGCTGGAAGCTACTCTGGGAAGAAAGAAAGAGAGTCACAACTTTGCCACAATCTTCAAACCTCTGGGGGGTTATTTTCCAGAGGAGACTGACCAAAAAGTGTCCATCTTTGTTTAGGGCAGAACATGAGGAAATGAGACGTACTAATCAAAGCACAAAAGCTTTAAACTAGAGTTCAGTTGTTTGACAATGGGAAGTATAAAGTGAAAGCATGTGAAATTGGTGATATTTGACCACTTTTAGCCTACAAAAAAGGCAATTTCACATGGTTTAATTTAATATAGAGTAATGGGGAAACAGCAAAGACAAGACGTGTTCCTTTTAAGTGACCAACGTTGCCTGACTTAGGTTCATTCTACTATATATGGGAGGTTTTATAGCGTAATGGTTAAGGTCTATCCTGGAGCCAGGATAGTTCAATTAAATGTTGATACTACCACTTCCAAATCTATGGGACTTTGAGCAATTTATGTAGCTTCTCTATGCACAGTTTCCCATTCTGTAAAATGGAGATAATCACAGTACTAAACTTGGACAGGTGTTGCTGGTGATAAAATAATTAAAATTTGTGAATAGCTTAAAACAGTGCCCGGAAAATAGTAAAAGCTTAATAAATGTTAACTACTACTTCAAAATATCAGGGATGGGGGATAACAAGTTATCCCTCAAGGACAATTTTAAAACAAACACTCTGTGATTTCAAAACTAGATGGATAGAAAAATGATTTGTCAAAAAAGAGAAGTTTTTCTTACTCTAATTCTTCCTATAGGGCTCTGAGATGTTACAGTGAACTTTGGAAGACTCTAAGGCTTTGGAGAAACAAAGTGATTCATGATCAGAAAAGATTCTTTACTACATTCATTTACTTTCTAAAAAGAGATATTTCTGAAGCATCTGCAAGGCTCTAAAATCAAGAAAAGTTAATCCCACCATCAGTTTAATCTTTGTTTCTCTAAATTTGTTTTTTGTTTCATTTTGTTTGTTTATATGCTTTGATATTTTTAAAAATTCAAATATAAATGAAATCATGCAATATTTGTCTTTGTCTAACTTATAATACCTTCTAGGTCAACTAATATAATATTGTATGCCAATTTACTTTAATTTGGAAAAAATAGCACTCCTTTGCTATCTCCCCCAGCCTTTTTTATTCAAACAATTTGGGATGAAAAAAAGGAAAAAAAAATCTACAAAAAAGAAAGAAAGGTTAATCCTGTGGGGGCTGTGAGAGGTAAAATGGTAAGAAGAGTACCAATTTTGCATGCACATTACCCTAGTTCAAATCCTAACTCTTAGATTTGTTAGCTGTGGGACTTGAGTTATTTGATGCCCCTGACCCTCAGGTTTCTCATCCAAAAGATGAGGATATTCAGACAAACGTCCTAGAATTTTTGTAAGAATTAGGTGAGACTAAGTATGTAAATGTCTAGCATGATACTTGTCATAAGCAGAGTATTACACAAGTGATACCTATTACTGCTCTTTCTTTGATTCTAAGACTTTATTTTTTTTCTCATGTTAACATATCTGAAGTTAGTATAGTTCCACTACACGTATCTTACAAATACTATATATATTTTATGTTTCTTTCTTTTTTAAAAAAAGCTAAAGAATTGTTTTTAAAACAGTATTGTGGATATCATCTTAGCACCAAAAGAATATGAAATTACCATTAGGACCCTAAAAATGCTAAGACATCTCAGTGCGGAAAAGCAGACTCCACATGTAATTCTGACTCTTGAGTCAACTATACTTATTCTCAGCAAACATGCCACTGAGGGTACGGTTCAGAGAGATCAGTAACTAACTACTAACACACCCTGAGAAAAGGTCTTCAAGAGGCTACCTCCTGATTTCAAGGATGCCCTCCAACTCCAGCTCTAATTCCACAAGAGATTAAACCTACGTGTCACTTTCCAGAGGCTGGTTCGTGATGACATTCCTTCCCTTGGGCGCATAGTTCCACTGCACGTCCCAAATACCCAGGTAGTAGACTCGAGTAGCCCCATCAGTCAGTCGGAGCCACAAGGGTTGCACGAACAGCAGAACCCAGAGGAGATGGCCTGGCTCCATGGCCCACATTACTCTGGGAAACAGGCAAATGAATAGCTCCTGGCATGCAAGAAAGAGAACAAAGGGGTTTTGCATGTGTCTGGAAATTAAAGGGGCAAGAGACAGATGGAATGACAAGAAAGCAAGAATGGATTACCCCAGAATCTATACCTTACCTGATTACTTTCAGTTCAACAAGTGTTCAATGATCTGTACACATTGGACTTTGGAGGGCAAAGTTAAACAGTCACTTATACTGATAATTATGCATCGCTTCCTTCAAAAGAGAAATCTGGATCCAGTTCCTTTACCTTGGCTCAAGAATCAGGAAACAGGCACCAGAAGCCTGATTGGGCCACTGACTCACTCAGTACCTAAATCAAGTCACTAATTTTCCCTGAGCCTCTGTTTTCATTGTTGCCACCTTCCCTCCCCTAAGATATGTGTTTAAAAATGAGAATTCACCAAAAGACATTTAGTAGAATATTAATAGACTCAAAATGGAAACAACCAAAATGTCCATGAACACTAGAATGGATCAGTAAATTGTGTTTTAGTTATACAATAGACTTTTACATAACAATGATAGTGAACAAATTACAATTACACATGAAAATATAGGTGCCGCTCATGAACATAATGTTGCAGAAATAAATCAGACACAAAAGAGTACATACTCTAGCCCTGGCTGGTGTGACTCAGTGGACTGAGTGCTGGCTTGCGAGCCAAAGGTCACCGGTTCAATTCCCAGTCAGGGCACATGCCTGGGTTGCAGGTTGGGTCCCCATTGGGAGGGGTCTGTGGGGTGAAACCACACAGTGATGTTTCTCTCCCTCTCTTTCTTCCTCCTTTCCCTTCTCTAAAAATATAAAAATAAAATACCTTCTTTTTAAAAAATTGCTTTAAAAATACATACTCTATTATTTCATTTATGTAAACAAAATCATACAAAAATAATCTATGTTTCTAGAAGCCAAGATAGTGTTTGCCCTTGAGGTAGGTATCAGTCACTGGGAAGGGAAAAAGGGAAATGTTTCTAGATAATGTTCTGTTTATTGATCTACAGAATGGTAACATGAGTGTGTTCAGTTTGGGAAAATACATTGAGCTATAAATTTAGCATTTGTATGCTTTTCTCCATGTGAATAGCAAAAAGTAAAAAATGAAAAAAAGTTAAAAAGTTAAATAAAACAAATGAGAATGTGTCACAGAAATACTAACTTAAAGGAAATGTTCTCTGCTGGTTCTCTGCTATGCACAAACTCATTTCATGGGTCCAATTCTGAGTCAGAGTCAGAACTAAGTCACTAGCTTCTCATTCCAGTACATCAGCCAGGAGGTTAGACTTCTTGGGACTGGGATGGAGCACTCACTTATGTAATAAACAGCTACAATCAAACTTAGAAACACAAGCAACATAATATAAACACACATATATATATTTACATACACATAGCCACATGAAATCTTACCTAAAAGAAGTTCTCTACACACTTGCATCCACATATAGAACCATAATGTCACACAGAAACTTTGTCACTTTCAGAATAAAAACAATAATAAATCAATATTTGTCATGTGTGCAAAGACAGTTTTTAAGTGTTTTACACAGATTAAATCATTTAATCCTCACAACAACACTATGAAGAAGATGCCATTATAATCCCCACATTACAGAAAGAAAAACTGCAGAACAGAAGTATAATTTGCCCAAGATCACCTAGTTAACGACTAATAGCATTGGGCTGTGAGTCCAGGAAGTATGGTTCCGGTGTCTACATTCTTAATCACCATGCCATACAACCTTCCAGAAAATATACTTGCACACTCACATGAATATACACAGAGAACACATATACATCCCTAACTATAACCATATCTGGGAAAACCCCATTTACTATTAAACATGCAATCACATATAGTTTTGATCACTTCTAGAAACACACATATACTCATATATATAGGCAAAAATACATGTAATCAATATAATTCATAATGATGATAGTGATGATAGTAGTTACCATTCATTGAGATTACAACTAAACACTAAATGCCACATTCAATGATTTATATAAATTATTTCATTAGGTCCTCATCCTAAGCACATGGGATAGGGACAATGAATCAAAAATAGAAAATCAAAGATATGCACAGACTTACCTATGGATAGGAAATCCCCAGATACTTACTTTGGTTAGGCCTAGATATTGACCCTGATTAATAAACAGACCTATAGATTTCCCTACAAAATCTCAGGGCCCTCTACACACAGCACTAGTACAAGTGTTAATCTCCAATCTCCACATGACATCTGGCAGAAAGCCCTTGATATAGGGGATAACTTGTTCTTGGGTTTCTCTTTCCAAAACCTGGATCCCCCACTGGCCACTAGTATAGAATTGGATAATATTTAATTACTCTGAACCTGTTTTCTTACCTATAAAGTACATATAACAATATCAGTTTTGAAGAAATGAATTAGAACACTTACATGAAAGGCACAGAACACAATTAACACTTAGAACAAAATAGACAGTAACTGGTGTCTTTCTTCTTCCTTCTCCCTCCTGGCTACTGTCTCTCCCATATCTTACATTCTATATTTCTACTCTAAGAGCTAACTTAAATCTTAACTGCCCCAGAAGGTCCCCTCTAGCCTTTTCATACCACTGTTTTCTAAAGGACTACTTATTCCCTATACCACCCAGTTTCATTAAGTCAAATTTTGTATTATTGTTACCTTTCTATCCATGAGCTGCTTCATGAACTATGTTTATTCTCCAGATTGGACTATAAACTCCTTGAGGATGAATGTCATGTCTTAGAAGTCTTTGTGCATCTATTGCCAACACAGTGATATAGGTCCTATAGGTATACCATAAACAGCTACTGCTAAAGTGACACAAACATATTATTTTCCCACCAGTTGGTTCTAGCTCAAGTTTGCCACTGGTATACAGAATGACTTTAAGAAAGTTAATGTACCTTAGTGAGCCTCAGTTTCCCCATACATAAAATAAAAGAGCTGGACTATATACTTCTTACCTTTTTGGTGTCATGTTTAAGAACATAATGAAATGCGAAAAGGTGGGACTACAAAAATGTTTAATGCAAAAATTCTCAAAGAGACTTTCTAGTTCTCATACTTTGTCAGTATTCCCATTCACTGATGAAACACAGGTGCATTCACATGCACCTACATATAGTACTACATATGGTCAAGCAAATAGCCATGACTTAGAACCTTCAATATGGAGGCAGTGTCCTTAGTTCAATGGAAGTCTGAATACAATGTGGACCTCCTTCAAGCTTTTTTTCAGGAATGTGCCAGAAAGGCCATTGTACCTTAAACTCACTAGATAGGGAGAAAACTGTCCCAGGTAAGAGTTTCACAATTGGAGAAGCACATAGTAACCCAAAAATATTCCCAGAAGAGCCTGGTACAGATCTTCAGCATACAATGAATAAGCATTCAATGGTGACTAATGACCAAAAGAGCTAGACAATAAAACCTGGGGGAAAACAATGATAGCTAGTGTTTGTCTATCATGCTCTACTTTACAGTATGTTTTTCATATTTGCCTTCTCATTTAATTATCAAAATCTTGTGAGATAAGGATTGTCTTCCCCTTTTGCATCTAGAGCATAGTTTTTGCTATCAGACTACCTAAACTAATCCTAACTCCACTTTTCCTAGCTCTGTGACTCAATAAATTGCTTCACTTCTGTAGCCATGGAGTTTTATCTTTGAAATGAATTTAATACTGTTAGTTACACTCAAGTAGTGTGAGGATTAAATGAATTAAGATCTGTAAGTGCATAGAATACAAATATGTGGTCAAGTGTATGCAAGTGATCAGAAAGTATTAGTGGCTATTATTAGTAAAGATGAAGAAATATCTTTAGAAATAAAGTTTGGCATGATCCCAGAGCTTTAACATTTTATGGGTAGCCATAACATATACATGCTCAAAATTTCCTACATACAGTAGCACATACAAAGCATACAGGTACATGCGTATGGCTGAGATTAGTCTCTTTGGAAGCAATATGATATAATTAAAGGGAACAGAAATTTTGAGTTAGACAAACTTAAGTATGAGTACTGTTTTCAGTTATGTTTGAAAGGACTAGAATTGGAAACTTAGTAGGCATCTGACAAATATTAGCAGTTTTCTTTCTTTCTAATCACTGGCTTTTTTTCTTCCCAAAGCTGCATTTGTTGTTGCTATTGTCATTTTTTTAAATTTGATTTTGTCATAAATTATTACAATAGAAAAAAGAGCCCTGGCTGGTGTGGCTCAGTTGGTTGGAGCATTGTCCCATTCACCAAAAGGTTGTGGGTTCAATTCCTGGTCAGGGAACATATCTAGGTTGTGGGTTTGATCCCTAGTTGGAAAGCAACTGATAGATGTTTCTCTCATTTCTCTTTCTCTCTCCCCCTTCCTCTCTCTCTCAAAGAAAAAAATCAATAGAAACATATCCTTGGGTGAGGATTAAATTTTTTTCATTATATAGGTTTCAGGTGTACAATTCTCTAAAATCAATAAAAACCTCAGATAAGCATTTAAAAAAAACAGAAGAAAAAACCCACAAAATTTCTTTAAAATCATTTAGATATTTCATGATAAAATTGAAAGACTTTAAATCCTAGAAAAATAGATTCTAGTTCTGAACTCATCATTTATTAGTTGTACATCATTAAGTCACCTAATTTCCTGGGTCTTAGTTTCCTCATGCTGTAAATGAAGATAATCTCTGGTTTGGGTTCTTCATTAGTTTACTAAGATGATCAAATGAGATAAAGGATGTGAAATCCCTAGGCAAACTTTTCTCTTGGGCAGGAGTACTTTCTTTCAGCTGAGCCCGTAGGAGGAAGTCTTAGAGAAAGGTCAGACTGAGAGGTAAAAATAAAAAGGAAACATAAAATGACAAATGAAATAGATAAGGTGATCCAGAATCCTGAGACAAAGTAAGAACAGAAAGGGCAGAAGGAGGCGGGGGAGAGAGAGACAGAGAGAGAGAGAGAGAGAGAGAGAGAGAGAGAGAGAGAGAGAGAAAGAATATATGAATTTCTGCTCTACTTGGAATTAGACATAGCATAATTAACATACACTGAGACCAGCCTGGGGTGAAAGTCAGCTAACAACAAATCAGGCCTCTTATATTTTTACCTTATCTTCCTGTAATCCCAGCATCACCTGGGCCTGGTCACCATGATACATGACAATTTTCATCCCTGTTTTCCCTATAATTCGCAAGTTGTTCCTTTAACGTGATAATGTTCTTATCTCTCTCTCTCAATCTCTTTTTCACAGTTGTGTTAGACTGAGATGGACAGACTCATACTAAAGTAAGGATCACTCAAATGCAAACAGGAATGCTGAGTTATATTTTGGGTCCTGTCTCCAATATCAACAAAATAAAACCTTCCATCCATTTTGATCCTCTGCTTTCTTAATGCTTTTTGGTTATTTCTTCACCCTGTGTCTCAAAATATATTCCAAATGGGGGTTTTCTCACCTTCCTTGGGTATAGGCTTGTCTTTACTAGGAGGGAAACTAGAATGTTAAAAAGCTAAATAGGGTTTGGGATAATACAAGTAAAATTTATACTATTCTTTAATCAGTATCACTGTATCCTAGAATATCAGAAGTGATGAAATTGAGACCTAGTGAGGAAGGGACTTACCTGAAAACCTGATGTTGGAACCTAAGAATATTGAGCCCCCCACCACCCGCCACCTAATAATCATGTCCAGCATGTCATCACCATACCATTCCTGGGAAAATGTGATTTCACTACATATTTTCCATTTGTACTAATGAGGTTGCTTTACCTCCACACACTCCAGCTGTGGTATCATAGAAAGCATACTAATTTAAAATCAAAAGACCTGAATTCAAATCCTATCTCTTGCGTGTAATAGCTATGTGGACTCTCAACAAGTCACTTTCATCTATTTGAGCCTCACTTTTTTTATCCAAAAAATGGGGAAGATATTTATTTCACAGTATTGTTTTGAAGCTCAAAAAAAATGGTTATTTAAACCCAAGCAAAAAGCTTGAATGCAATAGATGTTCAGTAAAAAAATTGAATGCATCATAGATTCATACATCCATAAAGACCTTTAGAAACTATGTTTTTTCAACCCTTTAATGTGACGCATAGAAAACAGGCCAGATGGGTGAAGGGACTTACTTAAAGTCAAGCAGCCATTTACTGGCAAAGCCAGAATTTGAACCCATGTTTGCTAAAATATTTCTGTTCTTTAGACACTAAATATGACAAATAATTTAGATTTTAAGCTGAGCTTAGCTCACCTATCATTTGTTTGTTTATTCAATGCCTATTTAGATCTCAAAACATAAAATCAGATGGTTGTTTTTAAGTGTTTGAACCTCTCATTTATGTAGTTCTCAGATCCATCACATCAACAAACCACTCAACCTGTGAAATGGAAAATCAGCATAGTATTTCAACAGAAATGCTAAGCTAAATAAGCCAGGGAGCAAAAGACAAATACCATATGATCTCACCTATAAGTGGAACCTAACCAACAATACAAAAATGCAAGGAAAATAAGACCAGCAACACTGAAAGGAAAAGAAATCAACAGAGACAAGAGGGAAGGAGGGAGGGAGGGGCAGGGAAAGGGAGGGAAGGGGAAAGTCAAGGAACATATAGCAAGGACTCATGGACAAAGCCAAAGGGGAAGAGCTGAGGGAGGGAAGGAGGGAGGAGGCAAGGGAAAGTGGTGGGGGGTAGGCAGAGACAAATGTATTTGAAAAAAAATAATTAATTAATTAATTTAAAAAAAAAAAAAAACTACTCTCTACAACTCCAGGATTGTCCTTGAGGCAGTCAAGCCAGTGTGGTCCTGGCCATTTTGGAGACAGGAACAAAAGAAGCCTATTGTTCGCTTTAACTTCCCTGAGCACCCAGCCAAGATTCCTTTAACTTTTTAGCAACTTAATTTCCCTCCAATGGCCCAGGACTTCCCTAAACCCAGATGAATAAAAGTTTTTACAAAGAAAGGAAGGTAAAGTAGGATTTAGAAAGAGAGAAAAGAAAGCTTACCTTTGCTAGAGAAAACCCTCCTATATTCATGTCAGCAGCCTAGTGATGCTGAACTGCAGACCCCAGCGTGAGTCTGCCAGCCCTGCTCAGTCAGTATCCTGGGTTACAGGGCCTTTCTCATAAATTAAGTCCAGGACTCCAATCTGGCGAGTGTTACTGGGGTAGGGTGAATGGAGGAGGGGGCAGTGCTGGGTGCTGTCCTTTCCAGAAACTAAACTACTGGAATGTTTTGTTCCGGTCTGGTTTGGTACAAAACCTGGGATGGTTCTTTGACCATATCCGGGTGTTTTCCAAATCCCGGTTAGGATCTCAGGAGGAATTACAAGGGGGTGGGCTGCATTTCTGTTATCGCAGCTTGCTAGTTGGCCTTTGCTGAGACAGGGAGGAGAATGCACTGTCAGTGTGGCCAAAGCTCACAGAGAGATTCCAATAGCCCCATTTGTGAAATGGGGTCCTTGGTAAGTATTACTAGATTTAGGAAGAGCACCCCCCATACCAATTTTTTCCCTTCTTGCTGTGAAGCAGTTATCAGCCCTGCCTGTTATACTGAGGCCAGGGTTGCTTGGTAATAAAGGAAAATAAAACTGGTGACACAACAAAGAAGTTTCTACGTGACAGGCCCTATGTGAAACCACTTTCCATGCGTTCTATGATTTAAGTGTCCTGATACCCTGTGACATGGACACTAATTCTCCTTATTTTACAACCAAAGAAAACCAGGCTCTAAGAGAGAAGGTAACTTGCTCAAGGTCACACAATTAGGATGTAAAAGAGTGAATTTTACTGGGTCTGTCTAGACTCTTCACCACCACACTACCATACTGTGCTGCTTAGGGGAGAACCAGAGAGCCCTTTTGAGATGAGGGAAATGGCTTCCCAATTATTGAGTGCCTGCTGTCTACCAGTCACTGCTAGATAATTTTTTAAATGTATATTACCTCTGCTTCTGCCATTTCTAGTAGCTCCTAGAGTGAAACCGAAGGACTGTTATTATCAATACTTTCCATAGAGGAGACTGGATACAACTAGAAGATAGACTGAATTAATATAAGTCAGCATCCTAAAAACAGAGAAAATTCAGAAGAATTGGAAATATTACATTTTTAAAAAGTAAACTGAAAAGAAATTCCCTAAAATTTCTGAGTGAAACTGAAATCTGGATTCGTTTAAAACCAAAGGCCATCCTTGTTTCTTCTGGAAAGAGAAGATTGTGAAAAAAAATCACTGGCCTGAGTCAAGTGACCTAGGTTCAAGCGCTGGCTTGCTCTGGCAGTAATCAGTACATAGGCCTGACCCAGGCTCTTCTCTCCTCTTCTCTGGGCCTTAGTCATTCTATTCATAAGAGGGCCTTGAGCTAGCTACAGACCTTCCCAGTTCTATAAATTTACATGTCTAGCATTCCATGAAGAAGGCACATTCTTGATATTAAGTGGAAGAGAAAGAGGTTTCAAAGATGTAAAGCATAAGGAAAGAATGAGTGGGAAAAAAAGGTAGAGAATTGCATGCCTCTTTGGAAAGGACTGTATCTACCTACCAGACCCAGACATAGAAAAGAAACAGGTATAATGGCGGTTCTACCGCCTAGTATTCTTACTTTATGATGAAGAGATCTTGGCTTGGAGCAGATGCTGTTCTCTAGGCAGGCTCAACACATTTTTCTTTCCTGAATTTAAAGTGTGTGGGGCAGGGTCCAGGGAGGAGGACTTTCAAAGACTGAGCTGGTGGGGCAAAGTCTAGGTCATAAACTTCTGGAGCTGGTTAAAGGTGCCTAGACACTTAGGAGCTATTGCATAAACTGCAACACACACCAAGCCAAGTAGAAGCATCAGTCGGGAGAATGGAGAAGCCACCAGCCTCAGCTCTCTCAGAAATGCTCAGTGATTGAGAGAAGTTGGATCAAGACACAGCAGTTGCTGGGGTTATCTGCCTCTTCTCCCACTTGGCAAAGATGTGGACCTTTAAGTTAGAAGGGGAAGGAAGGGACCAAACCCATTAAGCTGGGATCCAAGTCCAGTCTCTAAAGCATTTATGACAGGGAGGGGAAAGGATAAGGTCTCTGCTCTGACTCATGAAAGACAACAAGAAGCAGTTCATATAGAGACACTTGAGTCAACACAGTAAAAACTGCAGGAAGCCAACGATGCCAGGTTCCAGAGTTTGTTTTATTCATTAAGCAATTCACTGAGTGGGCATGCAGTGCCTCCCACTTCTGTAAATCCTGGATATACTTCTGATGACTTTCATCATCTAAAAAGAGGTTAAGTTGATACCTATAGGCCAGGGATTGGTAAACTATTTCAATAAAGTGCCAGTTAGTAAACATTTTATTTGCAGCCTCTGCTATAACTACTAAAATAGGCCAGTGTAAGATGTTGAGCATATATATGTACCAATAAGAATAAATTTACAAAAACAAGCAGCAGGCCAGATTTGACCCATGAGCTCTAGGTTGGAAACTATCACTATAGACTGTTTTGCAATATAGACATTTCTAATATGGCAATGTTATTAAGAGTATGAAAACTACAGATGTTTTAGATTGAAATACCAACTCTGCCATTTTCTGATTCTATGACCTCATAAAATTTATTCAATCCTTCTAAATCTCAGTTTTATCTCTGTAAAATGAGGATAACAATAGTACCTATTTCATAGGGCTATTATAAGGAATTAAGTAAAATTACTCATATGAACTATTTAGCACAGTGGCACATAGTAAGTCCCCTCAAGTGAATTATCATCTTTAAATTTTCAGTGAAAAAGAAATCTAAATTCTTTATTCTTCATACTTAAAAAACAAATTGTATTAATCCATGATGAAAAGCAAAGAATGTTTGTAGCATCCTGGCTTTTAGTTCTAATTATGCTATTAAAGAAAACACAGTAATCCTGGACAAGTCAGTTTGACTTTATGCAACTTTGTTCCCTCTCTTGTAAAATGGAGAAAATGTTCTGGATTTTACATTTTTCAAAATTATTTTTGGCAGCAGAACTATTTCCCCAAACAAAATCTTACAGTATACCCCCACTATGTATGGAAGATGAAAGTACAGATCTTCTGGTAAGGTTAGGAGAGAGAAAGGAAATGGGCAGAGCTTAGGGGACCTAAGGACCTTCTCCTTTGTATGCCTATCCACCAAGAAAATGTGGTTAATCTTGGCGCACCAGCAAGAAACCTCAATGGCACTGAAAGCACATTCATTTGAGAAGCACAGGGAGAAAATGTGCTTAAAAGTCAAGATTTAAATTCTGTCACTAACCCTTCTTATTTATTTACTCAATCAATATTTCCAGGTTACCTGTGTAGGGACAAGCACAAGGGCATGGTTTTGGGATGATTACAAAATGAAAGGATCACAGGGACGTTCATTGTTAGGGGCAATACTAGTGTGAGAAGCATGGAGTTTGGAGTCAGAAAGACTAAAGTTTGGATTCTGGCTGGCTCCTTCTGAACTGTGTGACCTTGGGCAACTCACCTAAACTTTCCGAACCTCTGGTTTCTCATCTGTATAATAGCAACAATAATACTCCCATGACTGAAATATTGTAAGAATTAAATACGCTGCAATTTCCATGAACACTTAGCACAGCATGCAACACCTTGGTAGCCTTCAATTAACTTTCCTTTCCTTCTCATCTTTCTCACAGTGAAATTTAGTGACAGTATCAGGTACCTGGTGAAAACAGAAGCCCATGGGCAGAGCCCTAGCATAGCCAGTCTACCTTCTTTATCTGAAGACCCTCTGATGAGCTTCCCTTAGCAGTTCTTAAAAAGAAGACCTATGGGAAAGGGTGGAGTGGTGCAAGAAACAAGAGATTGTTGCCTAAAGACCATACCTCTGAAACTACTGCCCTCCTTCTTCATTCCCTGCCACCACTTCTGACCAGCAGGCTCCATCATGCTTTGAAAAGATGATATACACTGCTGTGATGTGTGATTGTCCTGGGTTCCCTCAGGGGACAAGGTCTTATTCTTTAACTCAGTTCTTGATTCCACTGCTGTTTTCTTCAGTCCTCCAAGGCAGTGGATCTCATATTTTTGCATGCATCAGAATCCCTTTGAGGATTTGTTAAAACACTGAGTTTCTGCTTCAGTAAATTTTGGATGAGGCCTGGTAATTCACATTTATAATAATTTCCCAGGTGATGCTGATGGTGCTGATCTGAGGATCACACTCTGAGAAGCACTACTCAAGTTTAGGGGACTTTTGTTCTGAAGCTTACACCTTGCCAGCCAGCTTCTTTTTGCAGGCTGATCCTTGAGCTCTCACCACCCTGGTCTTCAAGTATCCAATCTTTGGCCCCAGGTCAAAAGTATGTTTCTTTCCTTCTCCTGGTATATCACTCATGTGGAGTCTCCCTGAAGGTCCTTCCGACACCAGTTTGCCCACTCCCTTTGCCCCAGACCCTTCCTGCCTGCCTGTGTGAGTCTCATTTTTCCCTCCGTGCTTAGTTAACATGTCTTGTTTTCTGGCTGCCTTCCTTGAACAACTCTATGAATGGCATCAGCTCCTCCTGCCAACTCTCCTCTACATTCTCATGTGACTTCCTCATTATGGACTCTGGACACAGACAGTCCTGGGTTGAATCTTGGCTTTGCCTCTCTCTAAAGTCTGTGATCTTGGGAAAGTCTTTTGAGTTCTCCAAGACTCAGCTTGTTATATGTAAAATCAGGCTATGAAAATAAAATGGAAGAATGTCTGTGTAAAGGCCTAGGGCAGCACCTGTTACATAGTAAGTGATCAGTAAATGCTAGTCTCTTTTTCCTTACTTCCTCTACTTTCTTCACACCTACCTACCTTAACACTTACTACTAAGGACCTGGCAGCAAATAAGAATGATAACAGAATGCAGGAATAAAGTCTTTCACTACCATGAAAAGGCATGGTAAATGAGAGAAAGGAGGCCTACCCATACAAAGTGATACAACAGTTAAGAGAAGGGAAAGATCATTTTCAGTGGGTGGGTGTCAGGATAAGCTTCATGTATGACTAAATGATATAATTTTCCCTCACACTCCCATATCTCAAGCCAGAAACCTGAATGTCCTCCAATATCTCTGCCTTCTCCCTCACTCTCTACCTCCATTTCAACAGCAAATTCTTTCATATTTATATTCTAAATGTCTTTTGAAACCACCTACTTTTCTCCATCTCCACTGCCATAGCCTTGGTCTGAGTAATGTTCGTCTCTGAACTAGATCACTGTAATAACCTCCTCGCTGTTCTTTTTGTCTTCATTCGTGTCCCCCACAGTCTGCTCTTCAAATAACAGCCAAAGGTATTTTTCCAAAAACATAGGTGATTATATCTCCCCCTTACTGAAAATCCTCCAGCTGTGGGATTTTATTGGCTGAAATTGGAGTAGTACAGAGATTAGCAGGGTCCCTAGGTAAGGACGACATTGAAACTGGTGAAATGTTCCGTGTGTTTTTATGTGTGTGTTTTTGTGTGTGAATGCACATTGGAAATAACTCTAAGATATATTATTAAGTTAAAGGCAAAGTACAGAATAGTGAGCATACTGTATTTGCTTCACACACACATACACACTTCTATGTATATACTTATATGAGAGGATAAATGTTTTTCATCTGGATATCATCACTAAAATATTTTTTTGTTTTGCTCAGCACTTTTACTTTTTATTTTTTATTTTTTTATTATGGTTATTATTACAAAGGTCCCCCCCCCCCACCATTATTAATGTTTTCCTTTTTGGAGAGTAACCTGGTGGGGAGGAGGGTGACTATAGCTTTTCATTTTGAAGTGTTTGAATTTTCAAACCTCATACCTTTTTTAAAAAAGGTTTGCTGGAAAGTGCATATTAACTCACTTGTGTTTCTTTCTTTGTATTTCTGTGCATGAGAGAAACGCATGTAAGTGTTATATTTAAAAAAATTAATGACCTCTCATTGTTACTAAGGTAAAGGTCGAACTCTTTAACATAGCCTATATGGCACTTTGTGATCTGGCCCCTCCTAATCTTTCTAGTTCATAGCTTGCTCTTCTTCACCTCATATTCTATGCTCCACCCATACCACATTTCTGTCATTTTGTTAGTTTTCCAGGATACTATGAGCTTTTTTTTACGCCCAGCACTTATATGTTGTTCCATCCACCTTAAACACTCTTACCACTATTTTTTTCTTTCACTCATCATTGGATCTCAGTTTAGAATTCCTTTCCTCCAAGAAATTTCCCTTGATTTCTTTTGTTTCTGGGTTAGGTGTTCTTGCCATGTGCTCCCAATGCACACTGTATATTTAACAGTTAATTGAAATTGCTTGTTAACTGTCACTACCAGCCCTTCTTTTATCCTAATTTTTAATTGAATTTATTGAGGTGACATCAGTTTACAAAACCATACTGGTTTCAAGTGTAAAACTAAAAAAAAAAAATCATCTGCACACTGCTTTGTGCATCCATCGCCCCAAACAAAGTCTCTTTCAGTTTCCATTCCCCCTGCCTTTACCCAACTCCACCTACCCCCACCCCCCTTTCCCTCTGGCTATCACTATACTATTGTCTGTGTCTATGTTATATATATAGTGTGTGTGTGTGTGTGTGTGTGTGTGTGTATAAATTTTTAACATATATAAAATTTGTTCTCATACCAATACTCTTTTCATTCCCAGGGAACTGTGGTAGAAAATGCCACAATGGTTGTTGTCTTAACCACTGGCTGGAAGAAGTGTTCATCTCTACATGATATGATTTAAGGGACTGAAAAAACCCTTCCCTCCTTCCAAAAATTACAGCTTACTTTTTTGAAATTATACCCAGTACTGAGAACTACATTTCAGTTTCCACTATGCCACAACCCCATATATGACCTAAGGTGTGCTATCTTACTTCTTTGGCCTCAGTTGTCTCACTTGTAAAATGAGAACTGTGCATCAGCAGAGCTTTTATGTCCCTTCAAAGTATCCCATCCTATATTTCTATGACTCAGGCTTTTGGATTAGATCCCACAAGCCTCCAAAAAACATGTGCAGGTGTCTGAACACAAATACTCTGTGTTTGCAAGAATGACTTTACACAAGTTCACCATTTGGGAAAATGAATTATGCGCAATTTCACACTCTGGATCTCTACTGACATGTAGAAAACAAAGGCATTCTCACAATACAACTGCTCTTCCAGGAAATGCGAACATAATCAGAGCTCAGGGTATAACTCAAGCTGTAGCAGATGGGTCTCTTCTCAGCCGTACTTTTTAAGCTAGTTGATACATTCCTTTGGCTACTTATTATTTTGTTACAGTGAAAAAGAAAGTGGATTTCGGGGTGAGGTAGGCAGAATAATGCTATCCCCAAAGATGTTTATGTCTTAACGTCTGGAAACTGTTAATATGTTACATTACATTAAAAAATAGGAATTAGCCCTGGCTGGTGTGGCTCAGTGGATTGAGTGCCAGCCTGCGAACCGAAGGGTCGCCAGTTCCATTCCCACTTTAGGGCACATGCCTGGGTTGCAGGCCAGGTCCCCAGTAGGGGACGCACAAGAGACAACTACACATTGATGTCTCTCTCCCTCCCTTGCCCTCTGTTTAAAAATAAATAAATAAAATCTAAAAAGAAAAAGAAAAACAGGAATTAAGGTTGCAGATGGAATTATGGTTGCTAATGAGCTTAAATTTTATTTTTGTTTGTAACTTTTTTTTTATTGCTGTTCAAGTACAGTTGTCTCCATTTTCCTGCCACCACTTCCCCCACCCCCACCTCCCACCCTCAATCCTACCCCCCTTTGGCTTTATCTACAGATCCTTTATACATGTTTCTTGATGACCCTTCCCCTTATTTCTCCTGTTATCCCCCTCTGCCCTCCCCTTTGGTTCCTGTCAGTTTGTTCTTTATTTCATGTCTCTGGTTATATTTTGCTTGTTTGATTTGTTGGTAAGGTTCCACTTATAGGTGAGATCATATGGTATTGTCTTTCACCCCCTGGCTTATTTCACTTAGCATAATACTCTACAGGTCCATCCATGCTGCCCTGAAGGGAAGAAGTTCCTTCTTTCTTTCTGCTGCATAGTACTCCACTGTATAAATGTACCATAGTTTTTTTGTATCCACTCATTTACTGATGGGCTCTTAATTATTTTGCCCTGGCTGGTGTGGCTCAGTGGGTTGAGCGCTGGCCTGAGAATCGAGGGGTTGTCGGTTCAATTCCCAGTTGGGCACATGCTTAGGTTGCAGGCCAGATCCCCGGTCAGGGGTGTGTGAGAGACAACTGATCAATACATCAATGTTTCTTTCCCTCTCTTTCTCCCTTCCTTCCCCTCTCTCTAAAAATAAATAAATAAAATTAAAAAAATAAAACAAAATATAATTCTGAAATAATATTGAGTGGTCTCAATATTGTCATAAGAGTCCTTACAGTGGAGGAGTTTGAAAGCAGAGGAGAAGGTCAGAGTGATGAAGTGTCAGAAGGGCTCAACTGGATGCTGTTGGCTTTGAAGATGGAGGAAGAGAGCTATAAACCAGAGAATCCAGAGCTCTAGAAGTTGGAAAAGGCAAGTAAATGGATTGTTTTATACAGCCTCCATAAGAAATGTAGCCCTGTTGACACCTTGATTTTACCCAATGAAACCTCTTTTCAATTCCTATTAGAATTGTAAGGTAATAAAATGTATAATTTTAAGCAGCCAAGTTTTTGCTGATTTGTTGCAGCAGCAATAGGAAACTAATACAGCGGTCAATAGACTCAACTCTGATTCTTGCTATTGTCACATATTAGCTATGTGATATTCAGAAGATTTATTTACCTGTCTAAGATTTAAAGTCCTCATCTGTAAAATAAAGATAAACCACCTTGGGTGCTTACATCACAAGTAGCCTTGAAGACAAAATATAAGGTGGAATAGGTTTGTACAACAAAAACTTCATAAGAAAAATGAAAAAAGCAGAACAGGAAAAATAACTGCCATATATATGAGATAACTAATTACTATTCAGGATATACACACACGTATGTATACACACACACACACATATATTTGTTTCTGTCCAGAAGGTATCCAGCCATGTACTATGAAAAATAGAGACATTTATTGAAGAAGATATAAGATACAAGAAACATTGTCCATAGGGCAATAATGCCTCAGAGCCCTTCAGAGTAGGCACCTTGAGACCTCACACAGTTCTCCCAGTCACCATCAGCTGCCCCATCGTATTTTCCTGAATCTCACTGATGGTCTGAAATCTCTTCCCTTTCAAAGGTGATTTTACTTTTGGGAAAAGCCAGAAGTCACAGGGTGGCTAATCTGGGCTGTAGGGGAGCTGAGTCACCTGGGTGACTGATGTTTTGCCAAAAAACTCTGTACAAGATGTGATGTATGAGCGGGTGCATTGTTGTGATGAAGCTGCCAATCACCAGTTGTCCATAGCTGCAGCCCTCTGAATTATTCAAGTGGTTTCCACAGAGGAATGTTCAAGATTAATGCAAAATTTGATGCAGATTTGTTGCTCTACTCTCTCAGTCATTTTGAATGTGACAGCCACACAGTAAATACACACACTCACTCAACAGCATCTACCGCCCCCACTGACTAGTACAGTGAAATCGTCATTGTTCATGCATGCACATTCCAGTCCACTCTCTTTGGCTGCCAGGTTACATGGATGTCGTGCAAACCATTCTTGTTATATTAACAGTGACTGGATTTTTTCCAGACAGACGTGTGCGTGTGTGTGTGTGTGTGTGTGCGTGTGTGTGTGTGTGTTTTACATGAATAAAAAAGAAATCCTAAATGGAAAATAACCACAAGAACAGATGCTCAGACTCACAAGTAATCAGGGAAATGCAAATTGAAAATCAAAGCAACATATACTACCAGTTTTCACCAACCAACTCTATTGATTCACATTCTTAAAATATTTCAAAAATTGATAAAAGTGCATGTGAATATATGAGGAAAAAACCATCTTATACTCTAATGAGAACTATTTGTTGGTGGAACTACCATGGAGAAAAATTTGATAATATATACTAATATTTCAAAAGTATATACCTTATACCACAGCAATTCTTGCTCTTAGATATTCACCAAAATTGACACAGATGGACAAAGATGTTCATTGCAGCAGCATCTATCACAGCAATGACCTTGGGCAAATAATCTATGTTATCACAATATAATAAATTGTTATGCATCTGCTTAAGGCAAAAATTGGCACTTGCAAGATGGCTGCAGAGTAGGTGGGAGCTGTATTCACCTGCTCCCAGCTCTAAATGGGATTTACAGCTAAATTACAGAGAAATCAACCTGAATAACCCACTGAAGGCTAGCTGAACTGAAATATTATCAAGGATTTACAGAATAAGCCATATAGAGATTGGAAAAAAAAGGGTGAAAATGTAGGAAGGGCTGACCCCCACACCCATGTGTGGAAGCTGAGAAAACAGAGGGATATCCTGGCTGTAAAATTCCC